CTCCATTGCAGGGAAGGTCTTCGGATAATGTATACAATTCCGACCAGTGGACAATAAAATTTAAACTGTACCACACACAAACTTACCTATACTGGCATTGCTATGACAGATTTTCTGGATGCAAGGCAAGTTTTTGATTCCCGATGCTATAATGTTACTATATCTCGTGCAGTTGACCACGTTCTGTTTTAATTTAATGTTACTTATATTAGGTCTTCATAAGATTAAAGGTACAGGAGGATTACTGTTGACCTGAAGTTTATCCTTGAAAGAGTTTTTGATCGACTGATTTCCTTTCGGGTCACAAATTAGTCTCGAATTTGTCGCCATTCCTGATGTGGGATTTCGATGTTTTTTACATGCGACATTGTTTAATATTTCATGTTTAGAAGAGTAGTTTGACGATATAATGCTGAGATAAGGCAAAGATAAAGCCGGAAATTAAAATCCCTCTTCGCCGGCATACAGTAGTTTGTACACTTTTCCAAAGAGAATGTTAACTTTTTAAATTTGGATTTGGATTTGAATAAAAAAAAGAAAGAAAAACTTCGTTTATGGGCTCTCAAACCCAATATAAATATTTTATGACCGACCACCACATAAAGTGCAAGGATATAGCCCATAAGCCTCACTTACCATAATAATATACATTTAGAAATCCTTTTGATCATTCTTCTAAAGTTCTTTATGTACTGTTTCAGACATTTTCTAATGCTAACACGGACACTAATACTATTGTAAAGAACACCATTGCTCGTCCCTTTTTGGCCAAAGGGCTTCGTATATACACACACGCCTGGAACAGTGACTACCCGGCTGTGAGGATTGAAGTCTATGGGTATAGATCAGGTAAGGTCATTTTATCCCCGAATGCGGCGGCAAGAACGATTTTTATCTCAAAGAACGGATCGCAATTGGCAATTTTAACCCATCGTTATTGTGTTTATGTCACCACTTCAGTAGCTGAGCATGTGCACCTGCCTATAAAATGTTTAAATTTGGTCTTAAGGACAAATTATTCTGCCTTGACTTTGTGACTAGTTTCCGTAAGTAACAATGGCTTCAGTGCTTCCATATTGTGACTCCAGGTCTCCAATCATATCAGAATCTATCTGACACCAATTGCTCACCCATCAGCGTTACAAGCCAGTGGTTTGAAGGCAATCTGTTTTTGGCGTCAAACTGTCATCGATACGACTATGGACTAAACTTTTGGAAATGGAGTTTTCCAAATAGCCGTTTTGAACAAGTCCAACACGTTGACGGGACGAGCAGCTACAGGTATTGCTGGGCAAATTAGGTGATGTTTGGAAGCAATAGAAAATAGATGGACAGGCAATGTGATTGCTTCTTCCGTGTTGTTGAATTATAAGAAAGTGCGTGACAGATTATAAGGATAAACAAGAGCAACATACTTAAAATTGATGATGGTCATTAGATATATTGATTCAACGTTGCGAAGATGAAATATTTCCTACCATCTTTTATATTATACAATGAATATGTTAGTGAAAGGTGGTCTTATGATACAGTATTTTACCCACGCACACACAAAGGAAAAAACGTTTAAAGTAGAAGTTCGGTAACAGAGTAATAAAATAAAACATTTCATTTTATTGCCAACTAGAAGGCCCACTGCAGGCCTTCTGGTATAGCAGGTATCGGTCTGCATGTTGATAATAGAGTTTAAACATATTAAACGGAAATCACATTTATTTCAGACACTTCAACTATGGGAACTTCTTCAAAGCAGGAGGGAAACTATTCTATGCTCATCCAGTTGCATCAACTAGTTCGGGCGACTGGACAACAAACTCCCCTATTTACGTGTACAACAACGGACAGTTCGAGTTCCATGTGGGCATTTCGGGCAGTTCCGCAAGACAGATTACCCCCTTCAGGCAGGACAAAGAGCAGTTTCTCTTAATGAGTAATTTAAAGCATCCGTCATCCACTTCTAATCCTGAAAAACACACTTATAATAGCTATGTCTATAAGTGGACCTAAAAAGACCTACATCTACTATATACAATATATCAATATATAATGTACGCAATATATATATATATTGTACAAAATTAAAGTATACAATAATTTTGTAACAGACAACTAGCGGACCCTTTGGTCAGTGTACATCATGTACGTTATATCATCTCTATCTATCTATCGGTGGACCTAAAAAGACATTCGCCATAGTTTCTCTCTTTCTCTCTCTCCATCACAATCGTCAGCATGTCCGTCTATTCATGGCGTACACTTGTCAAAAACTAAGCATATATTAAACTCTCTTTCAACCTTTCTCCATTTTGACATCTCTTTCATAAAGAGTAAGATATGAAATGAAATCGCCTGAAATTGTATAAAAAGACGATATATTTTTAGTACTGTGTACTTGCTTGTTTGTGAATAAAACGCATAAAAATAAGCCTTGCAATTAAACTTTTAGTCGCTGCAACTACGTGTTTGCTAATGTAACATATAATAGGACACATCCGGCATATATATATATCTTTCCAAATGTTGGAGCAGCTGTGAGTCCCTGCAGAGTATTTGGTATGTTTCTCTGTTAGATGGCATATATGTCAATGAGGGATAAACGTGGTTGTATGACCATTGCGATTTGAAGAATATCTTCCAATACGAGCTGAATACTTTAAAATGTTGGAAAATTGCTTTTTAACAGAGGGATTATCAAGGTCTGCATAAGTCATACATTTACATTTCATAATTTCAAATTAAAATTCGTACTCTAGAAAATGCTTGCCTATGTGACGCTTTTTTTCGAGATCAGGAGGTCAGATGTGGGAAAATGTGGAATACGATTCTAGGACAATTCCCCCCCGGACAATTCCCCCCAGGACAATTCCGCCCCGGACGATTCCCCCCCAAAGAATATATATTTATATACAAATATGAAGTAAAGAGTACAAAGTTCAAATCTTTTCATCCATTTTCTGAATATTTTTAGTGTGATAATACAACTTCATCATGAAACAAATGATTTTATAACAAATTCCTTTTTTCATTGAGTGCAAGTACAGGAAGATTTATTAAATATCTAATCAAAGTATAACCACCTTCCTTCAGGTAAAGGTGGGGTAAACAGATGAACAGGTAAACAGATATTTTATGAATATTTTTAGTGTGGTGGGTGGTGGGTTGTGGTCAAGCAATTAAAAGTGACAAATAGTCAAAGGGATACCTGAATAAGAGAGAAAATCTGTTAACCCCACCTCTCCCTAGAGATGCACCTTGATTCAAGACTGATCAGAGACTCCGTTCACATGAAAAATCTATTTTCTAAAAATCTATTTTCTATTCGCGGTATCTTGTGGTCACTCCGAGCGCAGCCGAGAATTAATTACAGCTTTGGAAGAAACTTGGAAGAATTTTGTAAGGCGATTAGTTTTTATCAATAAGATTGTCCATGGTTCCAGTGGATTGGATTTTCTGGTGTTTTAGTGATAGTAATAACTTAATTTGGAACAAATATAGTAGTAAAACAGCTAGTACGCTCAGCACTTGTCACAAGAGCATCATCACGCTGAATGTCCACAGGTCGTTGGGTATTGGTAGACCTGTGAACGATTCTCACTCGGGGAAGTAAGGGCCCCTTTACACTGGACGGCGTCCTTTCTGCGTCCAGCAGGACGACCCTATTTGAGAGTTAAAAAATTATAATACTTCACGTGCCGACAACTGGCCGATCATTGAGCATTCATTCTGATACAAAATCAATGCTCGTGCCTCCTTATTAAGACCACAGCGATGCCAAATTTCATGGTCGCAGAAAGGACGCAGAAAGGACGCCGTCCAGTGTAAAGGGGGTATAATTGACGGAATGATCTGGTTAGACATTGGGGGTGGGGGAATGAGTCCACGGCCATGGGTGAACATTGTCCTAAAACAGGCCACTCTGTCTCCTGGTAAGTGAGCAAGAATTAATTGGCTACATGTAGGCCTAGGAGGGAAGTCAAAGAACACATCCAAAACAGGCCCCCACATTGTTCAGACCAGTAAAAATTAACATTAATAAAAATGAAAATTTATTCGATCAGAGTCGCGGGCTTGGGCGCGCGACTCGTAATAAGTTTCAATAGAAGTTAATATCTCTTATCTAACGTTAATCTTTTTCTTATCTTATCTTCTTTAATTGTAGTGAAGTCACAATAAAGATATAAGTCTGTCACGCCAAGTTAGGTATAAAATCAGGCTATGACCTGACAATAAATAAGTTTTGATTTTGGTAACTAAACGGTGGTATTGCGTTACTCTTCTCTCCGGGCATAACCCAAGTCCGGAATCGTGTACCGTACCTAGAATCTTCCAGCGGTGGATTTGAGCCCCTAGCGTCTAGATTATACCCGCGGTATATCTAAGAACCTAGTACAAATTTTGAGGAAATATTTTATGTATTTTTGTCACCCCTACATTTGTTCCCTATTCAACCAGTGTTAGTAGACGTTAGGAGGCCAACTTCTACTGCATATGCTTTGGAAGATACATTGTATCAGTTTGTCTGATTTGTATTTCCCATATTGCACGCAGCCATGACCTAAAATTTCCTTGCCTACCTCAAATGAACATACCAGTAACTGTGCTTTGGAAAATCCTACAATCATAATTTAAACTGTGCATTCATGTCTAGCTCCTTCTCTTATTATGTGGCAAATTTCAAGTTCTAACGGATTTATTTAGGGGTGAAAATTAATTAGGAAAAATCATATGTGTAGCCTAGGATCCAAGATACAAGTTCCATCTACGTACTAGGCTATTATGGATCCATTGTGTAGCAGAGTAATTTTGGAATTTTCATGCTGCAGATCCACTGACATACCTTTGAACCCTCACATATAAAAAAGAGGCGATATCTTTATCGAAAAAAAGAAAAAACTAAACAGACAAAATTCCTGAATCACTATCTTATGCACTGCACTAACTGTAAAGAAATGTCAGCACGGCGACAATTACGACAACTGGGTGATATCAACAATGGATACTAGTTTCATATCGACAACCGTTTACTGGTACTTAACCGATGAACCAACAACGCTCGCAGGTTTGTCGGAGAGCGACTAGGGAAAGGTAATTTTTATCTTACTTAGTAAATGCACACTGAAACGATAAAACCTCACAAATATACAACTAGCGAACCTTAATAATATGTTTCAAGGACAAAATCTGCACCGTTTGGAAAATACCAATTATGAAAGGCGTAAGAATCTGAATACCGCGACTGTTTCAGTTAAACCAAGGAGTTACAAATGTTGTAACTCCTTGGTTAAACCAGGGAATTATATATATATATTTATAGAATTCCCTGGTTAAACATGCATTATGAGGCTAACTAAAGATTGTGTCTGGCTGTAATTTATTGCTACGGTGTCTTTTAGTTTTACATTGGAGGGACAGTGGGAGTTGAATATCAGAGGGATATTCAGATTGAGTTATGTGATAATTTGGACATGAACAGCCACAGTGATAGAATTACAAGTTTACAACCATGTTTATCATCATCTATACTGTACCATCGTCAAATACTGATACTAAATAAATAATAAATAGTTATCTTAGTTATACGGCTTACATGTGGTGAGTACTTAGCATGGTAAGGCTATAAATTGAGCCAACATCTTTTGTATTAACTACAGTGTATATACTGTACCTTGAAAACTCATAAAATTGTCGTTTGAAACCCCTCTTTCTGTGACACTTGAGACAAATAATTATCTATAAATAACTTTAACAATTTTGCATTCATTGTTTATTTTTTTGCCAAAGTAGATGAGGTACATGTATGTAAATGCTTCTCCCTTTTTCTTGTTAAGGGCAATAATATAATGGAAGATCCAGAAGAAATAGATTTTGATGAACAGTTACGCCAGGAAGAATATGTCAAGAAAAAAGAAGAAGACTTTATAGCTAAAGAGCAGACATACACAGACAAGGATGGCACTGTATTTGAATGGGATGAAGACAAGAAAGCTTGGTTTCCAAAAGTTAGTAAATTCACTATGTGAATTGTCCATATTTTGCTTCATATTATGGATGTCATGGATTTTGATGTTGATCTACCTGAGGAATTAAGGTGTAAATTACCATGTGATTATTGTTTGTTCATGGAAAATCATAATGATACAATGTGTCAGGAACTACAACCTGCAAACTGTAATACTTGACAAAGCTTTGTTTTATTTTAGTTCATTTTGCCTCCTAATGAATTTTTTGTAGGCTGTTGGCTAATAAATAATTTGATTTACAGCAGGTTAGACATAAAATACACTGCTAACCTTGTTTGCTCCAAGTTACAGACTTGAAATGCATTTGCAGTGTTTAAGAGATTTTTTATCTCTTGCAGATTGATGATGACTTCTTAGCACAGTACCAGATGAACTATGGAGTTTCGTCAGACAAGGATGGTTCTTCTGCTGCAACGAATGTGTCATCAGCTGAACCTAGTACTGCTCCATCATGGGACACTAAAAACCCACCAGATCCTAATGACCCCAACTATCAGTACTGGTACTGGTACCATTATTATCCCACAGTGACCCAAAAAGGGACATGTGGTGAATCAGGTGCTGAGCAAAAAACAAGAGATCCTGAAATTTCATTGAAGTCTGACACAAATGACCAAGCCCAAGTGGAGGAAGAGAAATCAGAACAAAAAAATGAAGCTGATGGTGCATCAGCAAACAGTCAAATTCCAGATCCCAGTGATCCCAATTATGCATATTGGTATTATTATTACTATGGACATCCGGGTCAGACAGAAGGGAAAACAAAAAAATCTGCAAAAAGTGATGATAAGGATTGGGCAGATGCACACTCACGTCTGGACTATTATGATAATCACTTTGCTAACTACAGTGGTGCTCAAGGTGATGGAGAGAATAAGGACAGCACTGGAGATGACTCTGGCCAAGACAAGGGGAAGGGAAAGAAAGGGGAGAAGAGGAAAGCACCAGCTCATCATGAACCACCAAGTGAGTTATTTAAAACTGATTTGAATTTATAAGTAGTTATAGGGTCCATATCTACAGTTTTTATTTGAATATGGTTATGAGTGTGAATTGCAAACACCTAATAAATCAGGTATCAATCTTAGCTTCCTGTTCTTACCATATTTCAGCTTATTTTTATTCTTCCTAGATTTAATCATGTTTTTTCTTTTTTTTTTAACAGCCTGGTTTGAGGTGGACCAGAACCGTAATACCAATGTTTATGTTAGTGGCTTGCCTGCAAACATGGAGGAAACGGAATTTCAGGAACTGATGAGCAAATGTGGAATGATAATGTATGACCACATAACGAGGAAGCCAAAAATTAAGTTATACCGCAATGAAGATGGGACCTTGAAAGGAGATGGTCGCTGCTGCTATATCAAAGTAAGTAAAATCACAATATCATTACACAGGATCCAAGTTAAAGGGACTTTGGTTTATCATTTTGTTCTGGGAAAGGGTAAGAAGTGTGTGCCCCTGGATCTGCTGATGTCATTATGTACTGTAGGCACACATCCAATAGTGCATTCTTTAGTTTTGCTGTTCATATTCATATTCAGAAAAATATTTTTGGAGTAAGGAAATAAAGATACTCTCATTGTTTATCCTGAAACTTAAATTAATGGAAATTTAATGTATTTTACATAAAATTTATATTGTAATCATGTAAATCTAGCTGCCTAAATCTAAATATCATTATTTGTTTCAAATACCACACTGGACTTTTCATTAAGAATTGGGGCATGGCTATATACTATTTAAAAATCTTCAGGTTGAATCTGTAGACTTAGCACTGAAAATCCTGGATGGATCTTCATACAAGGACCATACAATACATGTAGAGAGAGCCCAGTTTCAGCTTAAAGGTGATTATGACCCATCCAAGAAAAAGAAGGTCAGCAACAAGATGAAACGGAAGATTAAAGAAAAACAGGAAAAGTATGTCATAATTTTTTTGTTTTTACCCACAGATATATTGATAAACATTTGTGAGTTGATTCTTTAGGTTTACAGTAAGTAAAATGTCCATCTAGAGACCTTCTCCTGTTGCGTTAGATGTGAAACTGCATATCTAGCACAATTACACACATTGAAATAGAATGTTTTGTGTGAGGTAATATGATATGTTGATCTTCTTACACCTCTTTGTGACAGGATGTTTGACTGGAGGCCTGATAAACCCCTGGGGACACGAGGCAAGCATGAAAAAGTGGTGGTCATCAAACATATGTTTGACCCTAAGGAATTTGAAGTAAGAAAAAAATATCATTGTGATTTCAGTTAGATTAAGCATTTATTGCAGTAAGAGGTGGGATTCACTTAAAATGCCTATAGCTTAAGCTTGTTTGAGGTAAATTATCACAGTGATATTTTTTAAAAGTTTAAATGATACCTCTCATGCAGCACCAGCCAATGACTTTTGATGATGGAATTTAGTTTCTTTACTGAAAGGCTTTTGTAAGCTTGCCCGAAGGAGGATTTTAACTTTAGAAACAGTCCATAGTAATGTCAACAATGTGACTTCTAGCAGTAGGGTGTGCCAAAGCCCAGATCATGTTGTAAAGTCTGAAACAAGAGAAAGTGAACATTTGCTCCTTCAAGGCAAGGTTTTGATTTCATCAATCTTTTTCTTCCTTAATAATGATTTTCTATGTACAAATTTTAGAAACTTTATGTTTAAGTGTACTTTCAGTTTTTTCCATCAGACAATTCTTTTTCAGAAATGAAATTTTGAGGTTATGGTTTGTTGACCTTTGATTCGTCTGCTCACTTGCTCTCTCTGGCATGGTTTTTGACATGGCCCTAGGCGATATATTTTAAGTTCCAATCATTTTTTACCTAACCTTTGGCAACATTTGGTATGCTGATGCTGGAATTAATCTGTTTTTATTTCCATAATTTTTTAAGTCAAGAAAGTGGCAGGGCTCCGTTATATTCCCACAGAAAAATACTTTTTGACTTGAGAGCTTTGTTATTCATTAATTTTTTTATTTTGGAACAAAGCCGAGAAGGCCAAAGTATAAAAAATAATTTTCTATCAAGAACATACTGTCTGTTCTATGATTATTCCAGTATTTAGCTCCTAGTAAAGATACCTCAACATCATTGTCAGAAGACAGGCATTGTTCAAACATTGCAAATGGTGTCTTTGGATTTCACCACCTAATATTTGTACTAAATGTCAGAAAAGGGATTAAGGGTTTCGTGTTTGGGATTGATATGATACTTCTATTGATTGTGGCAGGTGCTGTGGCATTATATTTTCCTATTTTTGGTTCTCTTCACAGAAATAAACATTTTTTCTCTTTTGTTTAAATGAAAGTTATTTTTTTATTTCCCCACATAAACCACTTGACTCCTTTCAAATTTGTCTCCCATTATTACTATTCAAAAAACATTAGTATATTTTTTGGTGAATGGGGATGGAGTTTTTCCTGTTTCATGTACTTGCTTGTAATTGATAAAAAATAGTTAAATCAGGTTGATGAATATTTTAATCCTTTCAGACGGATCCTTCCCTCATCAATGACATAAGAGACGACATTCGCACAGAGGCTTCCAAGTATGGAGAAGTGAGGAAAGTGATAGTTTATGATGTAAGTGTGTGAATTGATGAAATATTTAGTATATTTTACTGTTGTGAGAGCACCTTGAGTTTGTATCTGTTGTTTGTGTATTTGGACACAATTAAAATATTCATTTCCTATGTAAGGCATTCCTTTATAAACTTCTAAATGCACTTGACAGTTTTATGCACTACACAATTTAAAATTCCTAAAATACAATACTATGCATCATACAGTAGTAAAAATTATTACTTTAAATTTTTCTTTAAAACGGACTAGAATATAGAAATGAAATCCAAAAAACACTAAATTAGGTCTGGTTTATCTAACATACAGTGGTAGGCATAAATGTAGCATTGTTCCTGAAACCTAGTAATTTACAGAGGATATGTATGTGTAATAATTATATAGTTCATTAGTAATATGCATTCCAGTCATGTTATGGCAAAGAAGGCAGTCACCGTGGAGTATTTATTGTATTTCTATAAAATGCCAGAGAACTGAAGTGTAACCCTGGCTGGCTGATATCAAATGCTTGTCTAACATATAGGAAATGTTTGTGTAGAATTCCAAGCAAATGAACTGCATAGCGATTATTTAATGCAGTATGTACCCTGGGTGTATAAATAAGCTTAGGCCAACCCAGGTTATATGTGTCCAGAAGGTTGCAGACAGTAGATGGAGTTAGTCTAAAGAGAACTTTGAGGAGTTTAGTAGAAAAGAGGATCATGGAGAATAGCTATGGCGACTTTCGAAGCCATGGTCTAAAGTGTGGTAGTGGTTCTATTTGTATTTTTTGAAAGGGAGGGAAATTCTTTTTCTGCATGGTTAGTCATTTGCTTGATGATTTTGTATTCAAAATTTGAAATAGTATAGACCTTTTTGTGTGGAAAAATGTTGTTTTTATATACCTTTCCTATCTAGAACTGGTAGAATTATTCCACAATATACCAGTAAATGCTGGCCATGACAGCCAAATTGTAAATCTTATTGTGAGATACAAGTTGTATATTTATACTTAGATTATTACACACTTGTACATAAATTGTTTATTATTTATTTATTTATTTCGTTAACCGTTAAGGATTCCATTTTTAGAGAAATCCTGAGGGAGTTGCCACTGTGGCTTTCCATGCCCCAGAACATGCTGACCTCTGTGTTGAAGCCTTCAATGGACGCTGGTTTGCCAAACGCCAACTTGTGGCTGAAACTTGGGATGGAAAGACAAAGTACGAAGTGAAAGAAACAGCAGCAGAGCGAGAGGCCAGGTTGAAAAAATGGGAAAATTTCTTGGATGGTGGAAATCAGGAGAACAAAGACAAAGAATCTGCTGCGTCGGGGGACCAGACATCAGGAAAGGGTGAGGTAGGTGTAGATTTCTTATTTACTGAAATAATACAACAATATTATATAGCAGCACCAAATTGGTGCTCCCTGCAAAAATCCAGATGAAAATTAAATCACTGTTACATTGTGTAAGCACATTACAATTCAATGATATCACCTTGTTGTTCTGGGAATAGTGTTACAGTTTTCACTCCCAATTCAGAGGGTGTGTTTTCTGATCTAGATAAGGATCATAAGTTAGATTGCACTGTGGAAGTGTGTAAAACTTTGATTGTGTCTACCCTGCCTACTTTCAAGTGGGGAGATTTGAGCACTCATTTAAAGTAGGGCTTTTTGCCCTGTTTTAATGGAATTATATCCAAAGTTTAACAGGGATGGAGAAGAGGTGGCCAAGTGCACACAAATAACAGCTGACAAGAAAGGAAATCTGATGAAAATTAAAATCTTGAATATCATGGCAATCAATCAAGTCCAGATTTCTTGAAATGAGATTGGTTTTCTGATAGGTTCCATATGTAGAGGGTAAACAAGACAGCTGACAGGTGGGATGTAGTGGGTTACTTCAATATTAAGAGGTTTAATGTCACAGGAAATGCATGTGAATATATACTATATTATTGACTGAGGGTGAATGAACAACTTTTGCCGGAGAGACTGGGTTCTGATCCCTTTGTTCAATTCCTACTAAAAAATCCAGACTCCTGTGTGGGATACCCCTAGCAGTTATAGTTTACCTTAAAACAATATTAATGAAGCATAAGTAACCACTAGAAGGTATTCTCCTTACTGTTAGGGTATATCACTGACTGATCTGATATTTTATTGGGCACAAGTAATAAATATGAAATAAGAAGAGCTCAGGGCAATTTTACTATAAATAAAGCCCAGGAATGGACAAGTGCTTGGTTTTATTTAATTTTGCTTGTTTACCATTTTTGAAAGGGAAGGGGGGAGGAGGTGGTCCACGATGCCCCTACTTCCAGATCCATCTATCATTGTGTATTTGAAGAAATATGAGTTACAGAATGTAAAGAAGAAATAATTAATGTGTGTATAAACTATGTGAATTAACTGAACAGTCTCCTAGATTTGATCTTGTGTCCATCCTAACACCTGCTGGACACTCCTACGGCCAGTCACTTCTGGACAAGCACCTGTTTAAAAGCTGTGCACTAGCTGACCATGCTGATCACATATTGAAATGTTGCTGTCTGGTCTTGCTCTGACCAGTCTAGCTATACAATGACCAGTCTGGCTGGAAACTGACTTGTTTGGCTGTACACTGACCAGTCTGGCTGGATACTGATCCTTCTGACTGGATACTGACGAGTCTGGCTAGATACTGACCAGTCTAGCTGGATACTGTATGTTTATCACTGATTGGTTGGGTTTATATGTTTCAGTTAACAAAACATAATTAATTTTCTTATTTTTATTACCACCGGTAAGGAGGTTATGTTTTTGGTTCCGTTAGTTTGTCTGTCTGTCTATCTGTCTGTCTGTCTGTTAGCAACATTACAGAAAAAGTTATGGACCGGTTTTGATGAAATTGTCAGGAACTGTCAGAAGTGGACCAAGGAATAGATGATTAGTTTTTGGTGGTGATCAGGATCAATAATCAAGCAATAATCAAAAAACTAAGTTATGGACCAATTTTGGTGAAATTTTCAGAAGTGGGCCAAGAAACAGATGATTAGCTTTTGGTGGTGATCAGGATCAATAATCAAACAATAATAAAAAAACTAAATCATTATAGAATGAAAATTTAGGGGTGAAACGGCATTGGGTGGAGACTTTGCTGCCTTGTTTCTTTTGGTTTCCTATTGTGTTTTGTAAATCAAGGCTGGTAACACATTATACTTACACAGTGTTGGTATATATATATAACTTTGAGTTACACAGGGATGGATTAATAACATTTGTGAAACATAAAGCATGTTAATTGTGCTAAAAGGTAACACATATATTCAAGTAGGTCTATTTAAATCTTAAAAGTAACGAAAAGGTCTTGTACATTAACAAAGGTTTAGATGTGGAATTAACACAACACATTATATGCCAAGTAACATATTTATTAACTTTAAATGGTATGAGAATAATTTAATATGAGCTATATTGTGGTCAATCCACATAACATGACATTAAATGTCAAATGTTGGCTGTTGCACTGCAAAATTGGACTCAGCCAGTAGCAATACTATTTTTAAGGGAAGTCACTCTAATTGAATAGACAAAGAGAACTAATGGAAGTGAATCAGATGAAGAATAATATTTTATACAGCTGTGAAAAAGAAAGAATTAAAAAACTCCAAAAAATATCTGTCAGAACAGAACTAATCCTGTGTGCAAACTCAATCTGACAGCAACTGCCGATGAGGGCTATGGGCAAGTCACAGCCAGCTGCTGTTTTAATTCAACAAACAATAATCCGAAGTCACTCTTACACTCTTCTCAAGCCTGTCAAGTAACGCTTGAATAGCTCCACACTCCGCTGGTCCTGTGACTCAGACCTCAGAGGGGTCTGTTAGGAGGAGAGGGGAGGGGGTGAGGTTAGAGAAATTTGGCTGTTCTATGGTTCTGTGACCCATAATTTCCAGGGTTCTGTTGGGTGGTTGGTGGGGGTGGCTGGGAGTTACTGCCATTATAGGGTGCTGTAACTGAGGCATTTTTTGGGGTGCACAAGCTGAGAGGGTGATTGCACAGCTTACCATTCTCCTGTGGCTCAAAACAAATGGAAAATGTGTAAATATATATAAAAATATTAATTTTTATTCAAAATTTTTTTATTTATCATAGCAGAGTTGTGTCAAGGGAAACATTGTGCATGGTAGCTTTTAGTCAGGCAAAGGATGTCTCTTACAATTAGTACATGTGATGAATGTTTTGAAAAAGTTTTCTTCTCATTCAATTCAACTGATTAAGTAGGCTGTTTTGGTTTTGTTGAGTGCCCATGTAACATTGAACTGTGACGTTTCTCTTCTCATGATGGCTAAGAGAGTACAATCAAGTATTATGTGTGGATTTTTTTGTTTTGGCTTTCCCATGTAATCTGGTGTCAGAGGGCTGCATGAGGACAACTGTGGGGAAATATAATTGGAACTTTGGCAGATTGAAGTAAGAGACAAATTGATCTGTCTGTTCCAATTGATTTGTAGTTTTTGGGAACAAGTTCTTTCTGAAATAAAAAGGGCAAAGTGGAAACTATTTTTAAATAAGACAGTCACTAAATTGTTTTTGTAAAAGCATTTTATGTCTGATTGTACCAAATTGTGAAGCACTGGAGGCTTTTTTTATACAGGGGTTCATTTTAGGAACAAACATTATGGACTGAAAGTTGCTTATTATCTGGTTAACTGTTAGCTGAACCCAACCAGCAGTTATGATATACTGGCTTTTGTATATGTGACAGAAATTACAAGACTATAGATAGAACTATTAATGGTCATATATTATATAATTAGGTGCTACAGGTTGGTAAAAATGGATGGAACTATATGGTTCTTTCAGGAGCATTTTATGTTGCTGTGGTATTCTCATATTTCTCTTTGGTATCTATACTTGTATGGCAAGCAGCCAGGGTATTTTGTCTGCTCAACAAACATAAAATACCTCACTAATCATGAAAATGGCTGAAGCGTTCTTTACTTCAGGACATGGAAGAATATGAAAGATTGTTGTAAGATGATATATTTCTTTATGTTACATTTGAACACAGTGCACCATGTACAGTATATGCGCTGCAGGTGTGAGAAAGGTGAGGTTTGGTTATGTGGTATTTACTCCACTTCAAACTAAACTGATCAGTTATGTGTGAGTCTCTCAAATTGGTGTGTTTTCAATAATATATGAAAAAGAAGGCTTGAAAATTATGAAAACTAAGGTGATTTCATATTATGATGTATGATTTTATTACCAACTTAAAAATGAGTTGGTATAAATGAGCTGTTTCTGCTGTTTGAAATGTTTGAGTGAATACTATGTAGAGTGAATGCCTCCACCAGAGGGCAGCTAGCCTCTGCTAGGACAGGCTTCAGATGCCTGGACGGCTCGTTCCCCATCTGTGTAATTTAAGATGCCTGAAAGAAACAAAATACTACCAACTATCTTATGATGTGACAAATCATAAAATGGTTGTAGTTTCAATAGTGAAGGCTAGACTGAAGTGGTTTAAGAACATTTGATCTGATGAACCATGGAAATTTTGTTCTTTTTGCAAAATATTCTTGACTTCTCAGGGATGAAATGATATTAATTAATAATGATTCAGATTTATTTTTTGCAAGTATTAAAACTCATTAAAACACAATTGAAAGAAGATGTGACAAAAATTTTGAAAATCATTTTATGTAGTGTTTAGTGTTTAGGGTTTAGTGTAAGAGCTCTGCTTAAATTGGAGGTGGATGTCGTAAGTTTCTGAAAGTTGGACATTGGAAGAGGGGCTGTCTGCATAAAACAACATTTAGGAATGAAAACCTTATATGTTAATTTCACTTTGAACTGCCTCTGTAATCTAATTTATAGTGATTGAAATTTAACGGTATGTCCAGTTGGTGACCTTAAAATGAAATTTTTAAAAAATTGTAGATCAATTAAGTCTTTTGTGGAAGCACATGTTCTGTTTATTTGGTAAGATTGTTCATCACGTGAGCAGGCACACTTTTCTGCCTTGACTAACTAATGGAAAATGAGAAGAATTTACTCCCTAGAGTCTGATCAGGTATTTTCTATCATTGCTTTGTCCAATATAAGTTTAGTGTAAGATTGATGTGCAGCAATTGGATGTACAACCAATCGAAGGATTTCCTGAACAACTGCTACAATTATGTTTTTTCCCATTCTGTAGATGATAGCAAAAAAGGACACATGGTGGGAGTTATTTTTGCTTGAAAAAATGAGAAAATAGATGCACTGGGCTTTAAGATGTTGACAGCATTAATTGAAAACCTATTGAAGACCCCAGTTGGCCAGCCAGAGATCTGTGTCTGGGGGAAATGAGAGAAAGAACAATTGAAAGGAAAAACATCCATCTATTAATAGGAACTCTGGCTTTTGTCAGTACATTTGACAAGAATAACGAACGTATTTTTATTTCTATATGTCATGTTAAACTGCATCTGCTGAAAGATGTTTTTTTTTTTTTGTGATTGTTTTGTAATTTATAGTAGTCAAACCTACACGCTAAAACAACTATAAATGTGCACTTATAGCACAGATAAAAAATGGAGTTAGGTATGAATTATTGGGGTCTTGATTATATAATTTTTATGAATAAAAGTAATAAGAATAGATATGAAATCATGTATGAATAGTATCTTGAAATAAAATGATTTCTGTTGCACCTAATAAAAAAATGATAATAGAAATGAAATCGTATATGAAGAGGATCTTGAAATAAAATGATTTCTATTGCACCTGGTAACTGGGTAGTAAATAATTGTGAGTGATTGAGGCCAACATTAAGGGAGTTATTTCTTTATGTTTCATAGAGGTAATTACTTGCCTCAATTAAGGTTGATGTACTGTTTATGTGTTCAGTGTTGATCTTTGTGTGCATAGAAAAGTTCCCAACATTTATTTCTCCGCCTTGGTATGTGGCAAGTTATTTTGTGAACCCAAGCAAAATTCTGTGGCTCTCGGGATATGTCTACCTGGGGCACCCATTACCAATGAATATACACTTATACTCCTGTACATCTCTGTGATGTTTGCAGGTACTCTGTTGTACTTATTGCTGATACACAATGATTGTTATGTACATAATTACTGGCTTCATTTAATGAGAATTTACTTAATGGTATTCATATGGAGATTAAAAAGTAAGACTTTTGGCATAAGTATTTGGATGTTATACGAATGAAAAGCCCTGAAATTTGATTTTTACAGATGTTTTGTCCCTTGGAGGGGAAATAAAAAAAATGTCCACGCACCCCTTGACCTTGATTAGCGAATAAGCCAAAGTAAATTAAGTACCCTGAGCAATTGCTGTGTAAGTTGCTTTCCCAGATACATAGAAGTGTCACTTTTCCACTAAGTTGTTGACAAGACTTTGATGCTGTCAATCACTCTGTTAATCTGAGTGCTCAAGTTGCTCCCACTTGACAGAAATGGAAACCAGCAGATATGAGGTGTAAAGCCGTCAACAGCAATGGCAATGAGCAGATACTTAGTGTAAAGCAGTTAGCCGTGTAATTGTGGGCTCTAAGGTCCAGCATATTTGTCACAGGTCAGAGAGAAAAAGACATTATGACACTGTGACAGGCAATGACAGGCGTGGCAGTGAAAATATGTAGGAAAATGATGCCATCAGGGTGTAATCAGGCGGATACATTCTGCAGGAAGTAATCAAGAGGGGTGTAAAACTTTCTCTTCTCTCATATCTTCTGTAGTGGGTAAAGTGTTAAACCCTATTGACTAAAACAGGCTTGCTGTCTTTGAATGAAGATTTCAATTAAGTGCATTTTCACTTTTTCTGAAAATCTTATTATTTATAAAAGATAATGTTGGCATTAGATGTTGACAAGTACTCTGTCAATTTCTGTGCATGTGGTTACAGCCTGATGAAATAGTATGAGTGTAATGAGATGAAAAATGTTAGTTTACCTGTTGAAATGAGTGGATTTTTCTGTGTGTGTGCTTCTATATAAATGTGAAATTTCAGCAGTGGACAGAGAGCACAATTGAGATCCTTGTGTGTTAGTTGTCAAACTTTCAATTTGTTTGCAAAGCCACTATTTGCCAACAGATTATAAACAACTTGATACAGTTTAAACTTCTAGTGCACCTATTCAACATTAGATAAGGTGATTTAGTTCTTCTGGATAAATGAGGTGGAAGATTATATTTCTTCATTCACTGACTTTTTTATTTTTGGGAGCATTAGGAATTTATTAAATTTTAAAGCCCATATTGAAGGCCATTCTAGAAATAAATATTCATCCACATTAACCAAGTTGAGTGGTCTATTTTTCTTTCCACAGGAAAATTTTACAAGCAATTTTCTTTAACAGTTTTCAATGTCCTACCACATCAGAATAAAATATCCATTTTGTTGCAGACGACAGCGATAGCAGCAGAGACAGGAAGTGGCGCTGGGGAGGCAGGCAGTGGTGTGAGTGAGGTGAGCAGCAGACAACTCGGTGAATAGTAGTATGTTTTCCCAGCTGCTTTGCTTGACTGCTTTTTAGGAAATGAACTTCCTGTCCGACTAAGTATATTCTCAGTGGACAATCCTAAAACTTGTCCCTAAAAACTGTTTCTTTCTGAAAACATAGTATTAGCTTGGTACTGTGTATGACATTTTGAATTTTATTATTATAACATTGTAGAGACTGATTGTTTTTATTTAAAGACAATATTTTATCTTACAAAGTAATTTTTATCTTACAAAGTAACATGAAGTTATGTAAACCCATTTCTGTCATTTAAACAAATCTTCATATTCTTCAAAGCAACGGAAGTTTCAGAACCCTGATCAGTATTTGCAACCCTACTCGATCTTCATACCCACAAACTGCCCGTCTAAAAAATCACACATACGTTAGTGTACATATTTTTGGACCCATAATCAGTTCATCCTTTTACTAATTATTGAATGTGTGTCTTTAACATTTTGTATTTATTTTTGTTTATATAGAGTGAAAATAGCCTGCTTTTAGACAGGACGTGGCATTTACTTGTACAGTAGTGTGTAGGTTATTTATGTTTGCAGTGAAAGTTATGTCAATTCTGAATAGATGTTGCATTTTTTAATGAGGTTATAGGTAAATAGTAACTAAAAATGAAATCAAAGGGGAAAAAATAAAATTAGAAATTAAATTTGAAGCCTAGTAGAAATTAATGAAATGGATTTATTCCTTGATGTTAAGCTATATCCTTTTCAGTTGCTCTCTCTGAGTTCATGGTTTTTAAATCATAATAATTCACAGCCTGCTGATGTCTGTTGGTGTATGCTATGCTCTTTTCAACAGCTACAACTATTAACATTTCTGTCTGCAGGCTCAGACAGATTGCTGTCATCTGGCTCATCTAATCTTCTTTATCAAAAGAAAAAAGGCTTGAGAGGGAAATGATTGTTTGATGTGAAATAAATGGAAAAGGATTCTTGGGGTCTATGCAGTTTCCATTTCCTAGCGTATGGCTTTTAAATAGGTCTTGTAGTGGTGTTTTGTTGAAGTTTACAACTTTGACCAGCGATAAAGCAAAGTATTTTTATTTAAAAGCATAAGTGTTATTATCTTACATTGGCAGCACATCCTAAAGCAGTCGTATACAAATTCTGGAGGTTTACAATAAACTGTTCAGTACACTAATTTTTTTTTAAAGTTCTGAATTATTGTATAAACATTTTTCAGATTACGCAATTTTAAGAAAACTCCATAGCAGAAGTTGACTAGCAGTTTCATTTAAAATATTTCATGTGCTGTTTTACCAAGTAGAATTAACTGATATCTAGCAAATTTGGATAACCTGAGCTTGAAAATTCTAACCTTTTTTCTGTGAGGAATGAAGGTTGCTGTAACTGCATTTTGTTTAAAGGATTCTGTCACCCTGTAAACTCCTCAGGTGTACCTGTAGTCATTAAAAACAAGTGGTTTGTAACATCCAGTCTGCCAGGGAAGAGAGATCAATTTATATCATCTCCCTCTTACCTCGTACAGCAGTGCACAGTTGCCGTCTGTCAGTCTTTCAAGATTGCGGCTAGAGAGACTGAGAGTGAAGTTCAAAACATCAAGCTGGAAGCTAATCTTTATTTCGGGAGAAAATTAACCCCTGGTCCAGGGAAACTGCCAGAGGTCATGATGTTATCATTGGTGACTGAAGATTGCAGACTAGATGTTGTTTTTTTGATGACCAAGAACATATTAGATTGTAAAAGCTTCTGCAATACCAGATAGGATTGTTTGAAAGTTAAATTGGCTTAAGATATTTATTTATTTATTTATTTATTTATTTATTTATTTATTTATTATTTTAAAAATATGCTGAGTGAACATTTTGTTTTGAAATTTATTAATTTGTGTTACAGATATTCACCAACACCTGATTGTATCAAATAAAGATTAACAAGTCCTTAATTATTAAGTTTAACACATTTCAAAAATTTTGTAGGTATCGGTATGACATGTTGTTCACAGACGGGCAGATTTAGGCCGTCTACTGGGTCCTTTGGACGACGGTTAGATTTTCAAGTTTACATTGATGGGTATCTATTTTTTATGTCGTAAGACGATCAAAAATGAAGAATGGATCAAGAAAGATAATTTGGAGGACTGTCAGAAAATATCTCTGAATCTGCCCCTTACACAAATCCTCAGTAATTAATAGTCTCACATATTTCAAAAATTTTATTGGTAGCAGTATAAAGTGTTGTTCATTTACACATGCAAACACATCACACCAAATTAACTTAGTAAACTATGCTCAGTAAAGCAGTTCATGTGAGCAATAATATTAAATGTGGTATGTAACTGTTTCACCATCATAAATAAAGACCTATTCCAAATTATCTTAAAGAACGGGAAATAAATTGAATTCAGAATGTTAATCACATGCACCCACACATGCATGCACACACACTCGCTCTTTATAACTGCCATTAATCATGTGTATATTTAAAGGTTCACTAGCAAATTGGATAGACAGCAGGTATGCTGAAGGCATAGTTACCTGTATTCCCCTCTGACAAATAACACCTGAGGTGGGAAGCACAGGCTTTGCATGCTCAGCAAGGCAGGCGAATGCCTCCCCTGGGCTACTGGCTTGTACACTGTGTGGACAAGTATGGATTGTGAACTTAGCTCAGTTCTCCCAGTTGGCTATGCTGCACTGGGAACAGTTACTTCTCTAACAAAACCAGGAAATGCACACTTTAATTGAATAGAAATGAAAACTCGGAGTTCCAGCTTGACAGATATCACATGCCCATGCTAAGTCAGATTAACCAGACTGTCATCCTCTCTACTCTTTACTATGATCAGTGAGAGCAATCCTTTAATCCATCCCTTGCCAATTTTCCAAAATTCTCAAGAAAAAAGAACAATTCTTTACCAAAAATACAAAAAATCCTTTTAAAAAATTATTAAAACAGTAATGATTTTTTTCTTAGACTTAAATTATAATTTTTCAGAAATACTGTCATGAAGTTCAGACTTCTGATTTTCAGTGAAGCACAATGCCATCTGTGTCATTGGTTTTGGCCATTCTCATCTCAGATAAGATGATTGGGTATTATTTTTCTAAATCACTATTTACACATTGCAGAGCTTCACAGAGGACTGTAGGGGCTGACTTGCAATATAAATTTCTGAACTTTTTAAAACACCTTTGAAAAAAAAAAAGAAATAGATTATTCTTCTCAAAGGTAAGGGAAGTTGTATTACCACGATCCCTGGTTTCAGTGGTCAGGGCCAGAACTGACCATAAGCATGTATGAGAGGCAGTGGAGGGACATATTTTATGTTGGTCAGTGGCTCTCTTGTCATGGCTACTAAATCAGTGAATGTGTTTGCTGCTGAGGTGGTCAAGGGGTTAAAGCAACCACAGATGCCTTCAATACCTTTCTGTCAAACAAGGACTGCAGACAAGCTGTGTGATGTGCTCAAACCAACAGAGCTAATAATTTGATTAGATTCTTTTCCAGGTTTATGAGAAGAAATTGCATCTGAAAATGCAAGTTGGATACATTTACTTCCAATTGAAATTATTTTTCTCAGGAATTTCCTTTTCTTTATAATAAGTATGTTTGGATAGGGCATTTTTCACCATTTAATGAAATTATTCAGGCATTTAAAGTAGTTGTATTTTGAGTTGAAAAACAATAGAGCAAATACCCAAAGCCTCAGTTTCCTTCTGTGACAGGTGCTAGGTATGTCTGTTGCTTCTTATTCAGAGAAACCACATGAATGTACAGACGTAGTGTAGTCAACTAATATAAGTATGCACACAGTCAGTCTGAGATGGCTGAATCCAGTAAATTATCAGTTGATCAGAATTAGTTTGAAGTTTGTTAGAAACAAGAGAACTCTGCAGGAGGTGATCTTATCTCATAATAGAAGTCTGCATAGATGGAGAAGAAAAAAATACTTTCATTTCTGGTCTAGGGGTTAGATTATGTACAGGGCACTGCTACATGTTGGGCAGGTGTGTGTGTGTGTTTGCGCACCCATGTGTGTGTGTGTGCGTGTCGATGCATGTGTATGTACTAGGGATATAGGTAAGTGGGTTTAATGGGGATTAGATTGACCATTGTATTGGTATTGGTCTTGGATTTCAGAAACTTGATTACAGTTTTAACTTGTAGTTTCATGTAATAGTTTAACTGTCACAAAGTATATATGTTTGCTTTCAAAGTGTGTCTTTAGCTAATAAGTCTTGAGGAGGAATAAAAAGTAAGATATATTATCTGCACTAGGAGAAAAGGGTGCTTACAGCAACAATTTATTATTAACACAATATAGATTTTGTCATCATTGATGATTTTTGATCTTAAAAATCAAGTGATCATCACTGACTGGTGTACCTATTCTAGTCTAGTAAATGTTGGTTGATAGATGTTGGCAGTGAGATTTCTTATTTTGATCATTTCTATTAATCTCTTGAATCTGGAAAGCAGTCTACCTGCTGATGGACAAAAGCACATGCTTAATTCCCCAGCAGTGCCTACAGATTGTTTTATCAGCAAATATAGATTAAAAGACCTAGTTGTTTGTCTGTTTTGACTGAGCGCCCCTTGTGCTTTTCAAACAAAAAAGAAGCTCATTCTAGTTTTGCCAAATGAAATTTACTTTTTTAAGTAGTTTGATACAGTGTTGTTTTGCCTGTCCCCTTATCCCTGCAATACCAGAACACTCAAGCATGAGAGGTGTATTATGGGAAGCCCCCCCCCCCCCCCCCCCCCCCTGTGACTGGGGGAAGCTACTTTGTTGCAGTAGCATTCCCTCTAATCCATTAAGCTAAAGGGTATCAGGAGATTAGTTGCAAAGCCTGTAATTGCCAGATTGGCTCAGTTTACCTGTGCATACCAAGGAATAGAAAAGTGTTCATCATACACTCCAACACTGAACACCTTTAGCTGCACCTTGTATTACTGCTACTTCCAAAGTTGTTTATTTACAATACCCAAAGTGGCTGTAATTAACAAAGAGTAAAAGGGGTTTGGCTTAAAAGGGAACAGGAGGCTTGCTATCTGACAAGGAGTGAAACCGAATTGGCCAGGAGTGTAACAAGGGTGATGACATCTCAACCCTTCTCAGAGGAGAGAATCTAAATATTATGCTGATCTGATTGTTGTAACACTGATCTTACACTCTGTGGGGACCAGGTGGTGAACACATTCACATTACCCTTCTCCACTGGTAGTTTGCTTTTGGAACTTGTGTTAGGAGATTTAAACGACACAGAAAAAGAGACCTCACAAACTCCTGGGTCAATACATTTCAAGTTCAATTTTCCCTTTCTCACACAGATTTCTTGCAGTAGTTTTTCCATCTGTGCTTCACTATTGTTTTTGAGTAGCTAGAGAACATGGCTTTTAACAGTTTTTGTTGGTGGGTCTTGGCATGTATTTGTAATGCTTCAAATTCAAAATGATAACAATGTCATGGTAAATCAACCCATTTTATTTTTAACATTTTGATTTTCCTGATAAATTAAGACTGAGATTATTGACATTTTTTGAGCTAAAAACAGGAGAGCGTCATATGTTAATTAATACCTAAGTTTTCAGGCCTCTGAAACTAAAGTTCTGCAAATACTTTTTGTTTGAATAAAATTTCTTTGTGTTTTTTCAGGCTTCCTCAAAACCCCAGGAGAACACGTAAATGACAGAAGATACTGCAGCCACCATACTTACCCAGGTTAAGAACAGCAGTAGAGAAGGTGTAGAAAACTTGGCAGATACTTCAGGACATCTTCAGGAAGCATTTCTATCAATGTGTCAATCTCATCTGCTCAGAGGATAACCGTTTATAAGACATGTAATACAGTGTGTATTGACATTGACTCCAAACGTTGGGTCAGAACCTTTCAGAACTTCTTTCAGTTCTCTTTGCTCAACGGCAAAATGACATCAAAATACATTATGCCTGGGCATATGATTGAACATCGATTTAAATGTCTTTTCCAGCGTCGTGGAATGATGGACTAAATACCTGGATGCACTGATTATTGCAGAGACCGATAGCAATATCTAGTCAACTATCACCTGTTTAACAAAAAGTCTTAAGTCAGTTTTGAGGATAAATCCAACGCGAGTCTCATTGATAGACTGTATTATAATATATTTATTGCCCCATTGGAAACTGATTTAAGTTGCTATTACGTTTTTGTGAAGGAGGAGTCGTTTGGTGATTTAGGTACTATAATAGGCCTACAATAACTGGAATTGACTGGAATATTTGGAATATTGTTTATATCAAGTTGTCAAATTTAATATGTTAAATTTCACGAACGGGCATGTTTGTGTTCATTTAAAAGGAGAAATTACGTTAAAGGCCGATGGCGTTTTAGATCATTGTTCACCTTTCCGTGTATTTTACATGCACGATAACTAATTTCCTTAGATTATTTAAAGTAGAATATATATATTGCCAATAAAAGATTCGAAACGATTCAACAGAATTGTTTATATTAGTCGAAACTTTTATATTCCAAGCATTTTCTGTATGTACGATATGATTGAATGGGATATTTTGAATTCTGTTGACACGTATATTCTTAACTAAACTACTATAATGTGATGCTTGTTGAGGAAAAAACAAATCGATTTTTTGCATTGTGTACCATAAGGTGACTTCGTTAACCATGAGAAAATTATAGATACGTCCAAGGTATATGTTTACTGCCACTGCTAAAGAATGTCCCTCCTCTTTTAAGATAAACACATTTGCGCTTACGTAGATAAGATTGACACAAAATTCCAATAGACGAGAAATTAGATGCATTTTTAAAGTAACGGTAACAGCAATACAGAAACGACTAATATAAATGATTTAAACTTAATTCAGCTCAGTAGACACATACATCAGCACGTCTTTTATGTTCTAAGGTAAGATGTAGCGGTGGTTAATGGGTGAACCTGTCTTCCCACGTGCTGCCAATTTGTTCCAGTTAACCACCGGTATGTTCCCCACAAGATAGAAGGAGAGGGTTCCAGACGGCTGGCCATCCATTGCGTAACATCAACTGATTAGTAACGCATCGGTATCACGAAATCCGTGGACCAACGTGGTTCCGTGCGGATCACTTTAATTCATTCGGTGTCGAGTCTCTTTTTTTTCCTTACTTTTTTTCCCCTGGTGTTTCATTTATCCGTTAATAGAAATCTAGGCATAAATTCCGCTAATATGTTCATTAAGACGATCGTATTAGCATCTGACGTTTTAGACATATCTTTCCCTTAGCGAGAAAGTTGTGACTTTAAATTTGTCATGTAATATTTGCCGTCAGAAGCAAATATCCTGTGTTTGTTTTTTTTTTCCTTTAAATGAAATAATACCCCCAAATAAAGGTGATAAAACGAAGATGCACAGCGCAGAAAATGCTGTATAAGTGACGAATTATAAAAGTAAGAAGGGATAAATTATCAGGGAATTTCAAATTTAGAGTAATTCTTTTGAAAAAAACTTGATGCTGGGTCTCCTTTATGTACATACGTTTCACGGACAAAAGGGAACACGAAACTGATTGCTGATCTTAGCATGCCCGGTAGTTTCACTATAGGATTTAACGGAAGGGAGAGAAGGGTGTGAGAATATTACAAGGAGAGATGGGTAACATTTTTCTTTTCTCCCAGTTCCCCTGGTGTTGCTTGCACTCACGGACAGCGCAGGGAAGTACGGTAGCTGCGTTCGACAGTAGCAGTATCATATTGATTGGTGTGGAGCAGGTGATTGCGCCGACCAGGGCCTCCGGATCGGGTTCCTTTCTGTCAACACCAATGCACGGGCCCCTTCAACGCGATTACTGTTCGCTCCGCCCACAGGCAGCCAGCCTGCAGTTGGAAATAGACAGATCAGCTGGCAGAGAAGACTAGAAGAGGGAGATTCTGAAAAACCTCACTTGGAACTGCGTAGCAACATGACTTGCACAGAAGTGATGTACCATCCTGCTTATACGCCGTACAGTTCCTATCTCGCTTATCAAAAGCCTTATGATACATACAAGGTACAGTAATAGCTTAGTGCAAAGCGCAATTAGTCAGTTTCATTGTACCATTTTCAAAGAAATCTTATTTTAACAAAGATAACCTTCCGCAAAACAAGGCAGGTGCCAAAATGAAGCGTTAATGTAGAACTTCCAGTTGTATTGGTTTGAGATGATTGCAACGCATGGTCGTGATGTCATCGACTGGTTGTTTCACTAAGATGCACGAGAATCATGCACGCGCCTCTCATTCTTGAACATAACTAGGAATCCCAGCGTTTCTATCCGCTAAATCGAAGTAGCGAGGGAATTCGTAAGGATTTTGACTGGAATTCTCTCGTGGTTAAGTCCCATGGTAAGTGACTGTATAACTATGTCGGGCTTGCCATATATTGCACTTTCTCTATACACGAAGATGAATAATCCCCAGTTATCCCTTGCGTTTCAGAAATTCGCTGCTCTCCACAAAGTTTACGATAGTAGCCATAGTCCCATGGATGCCATAAATTACTCCACAACAGCAACGACGGGATTAAGTTTCGGTTTAGTAGGCAAAGAGGAAGAGAGTGACGAAGACCTGCATCCAAAAGCCTCCCAGTATTTATCGGCAAAGTGCGCCGTGTACACGTTCTTTACGGGAGATCCTAGTTCTAACGTTGACGATCATTTCTCAAAATCACTGAGTCTATATAACCAAAGGATAAATCAGGTTGGAGGGGGAGATGGCAAGGCAGTTAACTGGAAAGGTGAGTTTTTGAAGGATTTATTTTAACACTCCTTTGTGACGAGGTGTTATGTTATTCATGTATGGTTAAACTATACCTTCAATTTTCATCTGATTGATACTGTTTTTATTTGAGCGTTGCACTGTATGTATTTTTGAAGGTGCATGTGTTTTATTGCTTTTCCCTTCTTATTCAATCTCTTTAATCAGTGCAGCGTTTGGCATTATAATNAGAAACGACTAATATAAATGATTTAAACTTAATTCAGCTCAGTAGACACATACATCAGCACGTCTTTTATGTTCTAAGGTAAGATGTAGCGGTGGTTAATGGGTGAACCTGTCTTCCCACGTGCTGCCAATTTGTTCCAGTTAACCACCGGTATGTTCCCCACAAGATAGAAGGAGAGGGTTCCAGACGGCTGGCCATCCATTGCGTAACATCAACTGATTAGTAACGCATCGGTATCACGAAATCCGTGGACCAACGTGGTTCCGTGCGGATCACTTTAATTCATTCGGTGTCGAGTCTCTTTTTTTTCCTTACTTTTTTTCCCCTGGTGTTTCATTTATCCGTTAATAGAAATCTAGGCATAAATTCCGCTAATATGTTCATTAAGACGATCGTATTAGCATCTGACGTTTTAGACATATCTTTCCCTTAGCGAGAAAGTTGTGACTTTAAATTTGTCATGTAATATTTGCCGTCAGAAGCAAATATCCTGTGTTTGTTTTTTTTTTCCTTTAAATGAAATAATACCCCCAAATAAAGGTGATAAAACGAAGATGCACAGCGCAGAAAATGCTGTATAAGTGACGAATTATAAAAGTAAGAAGGGATAAATTATCAGGGAATTTCAAATTTAGAGTAATTCTTTTGAAAAAAACTTGATGCTGGGTCTCCTTTATGTACATACGTTTCACGGACAAAAGGGAACACGAAACTGATTGCTGATCTTAGCATGCCCGGTAGTTTCACTATAGGATTTAACGGAAGGGAGAGAAGGGTGTGAGAATATTACAAGGAGAGATGGGTAACATTTTTCTTTTCTCCCAGTTCCCCTGGTGTTGCTTGCACTCACGGACAGCGCAGGGAAGTACGGTAGCTGCGTTCGACAGTAGCAGTATCATATTGATTGGTGTGGAGCAGGTGATTGCGCCGACCAGGGCCTCCGGATCGGGTTCCTTTCTGTCAACACCAATGCACGGGCCCCTTCAACGCGATTACTGTTCGCTCCGCCCACAGGCAGCCAGCCTGCAGTTGGAAATAGACAGATCAGCTGGCAGAGAAGACTAGAAGAGGGAGATTCTGAAAAACCTCACTTGGAACTGCGTAGCAACATGACTTGCACAGAAGTGATGTACCATCCTGCTTATACGCCGTACAGTTCCTATCTCGCTTATCAAAAGCCTTATGATACATACAAGGTACAGTAATAGCTTAGTGCAAAGCGCAATTAGTCAGTTTCATTGTACCATTTTCAAAGAAATCTTATTTTAACAAAGATAACCTTCCGCAAAACAAGGCAGGTGCCAAAATGAAGCGTTAATGTAGAACTTCCAGTTGTATTGGTTTGAGATGATTGCAACGCATGGTCGTGATGTCATCGACTGGTTGTTTCACTAAGATGCACGAGAATCATGCACGCGCCTCTCATTCTTGAACATAACTAGGAATCCCAGCGTTTCTATCCGCTAAATCGAAGTAGCGAGGGAATTCGTAAGGATTTTGACTGGAATTCTCTCGTGGTTAAGTCCCATGGTAAGTGACTGTATAACTATGTCGGGCTTGCCATATATTGCACTTTCTCTATACACGAAGATGAATAATCCCCAGTTATCCCTTGCGTTTCAGAAATTCGCTGCTCTCCACAAAGTTTACGATAGTAGCCATAGTCCCATGGATGCCATAAATTACTCCACAACAGCAACGACGGGATTAAGTTTCGGTTTAGTAGGCAAAGAGGAAGAGAGTGACGAAGACCTGCATCCAAAAGCCTCCCAGTATTTATCGGCAAAGTGCGCCGTGTACACGTTCTTTACGGGAGATCCTAGTTCTAACGTTGACGATCATTTCTCAAAATCACTGAGTCTATATAACCAAAGGATAAATCAGGTTGGAGGGGGAGATGGCAAGGCAGTTAACTGGAAAGGTGAGTTTTTGAAGGATTTATTTTAACACTCCTTTGTGACGAGGTGTTATGTTATTCATGTATGGTTAAACTATACCTTCAATTTTCATCTGATTGATACTGTTTTTATTTGAGCGTTGCACTGTATGTATTTTTGAAGGTGCATGTGTTTTATTGCTTTTCCCTTCTTATTCAATCTCTTTAATCAGTGCAGCGTTTGGCATTATAATAATAACAATAATTATAATAATTATTATTTATTTTACAATAGAATATTTCAAGAAAAAACACAAAATGTAGTGCCTCCTTATACATCTGCCTCCTCCACTGACTGATAAGAGGAATTGCGTGAAGAACGGTATCAATCCATGTTATTTTCGTAGTGTATTTGCCGTGAAACTGCGAAAAAAAATCACGCAGCGTGCTTCTTTCAACTTTCCGCTCGAACATCATACAAGTAATACCGTTTCATTTGGGAGGTCAGACGACTCCCGCTGTGAGCATCTAGCGTAGAGGCCACTCAAGTCAACGATTTGTATTGCTTACAAATTAAATACACAGCTAACACGCTGTCTAAAGAACACTCCTGTAACGCGTCTTCTTTGTAAATACATCATGTGCCTTATTACCCTCCTCTTAGATCGTTTTTTTTTCTATAAGATCAAATATACCTAGGGTTTCTCCACTTTACCTGACTCGATGCTAGAAAATCATCTACCTGGTGGAACACATGACGAAGGGGCTACTTTCACGATCAGTAAGGCGTTCTATTTGTATTCCCTACATGATAGATTATGAGGCTGTCGTAATTAATCTGGATAAATAACCACTGACGTCCGTTCTTGCTCCTGCTTTCTGTATGGTTAGAAATAACTGATATTGTGTGTTTTCAACAGAAATGAACGCATTCCTCTATAAACACACATTGTAGCAATGAATTAAAATTGTTCCCAGACCAAATTTTGGTATTGGTTTTAGACGAAAGGATAATAATAGGGTTTCGCAATTAATATAGTGGTCTTAGAATAGCGGTTTAAATAGTGGCATGGTGTATAAGACGGCAATGGAAACAGAGTTGTATTCCAGTGAGGTTTGGCATGTATTTTGTAAAGAGATTCATTATCTGTTACAACTTCCTTTTCTGTCTTGTAAACGCGAAAACGTTTCTAACTTAGGGTGCTGTTTTGCTTAAAACTCCTTCTGATTTTTCAAACGGAAGTCGAATTTCTCTGAGTCATTAAGGGGAACAGTTAAATCAAATTACTCAAGCGGTATTTTACTAGACCAAATGGAGATAGGGTACATGGGTCGCTGTTTGATCGAAGAGGACTTGTATTCTCTAACCTTCAAGTACAAATAAATTTCGTGGTATTTGTCACAGAGGCAATGAAGGAATTAGAGTAAATGTTTTCCCGGGCAATTATTCCCCAGTGTTACCCGAAAATAACCATTTACTGAGACAGACATTTATAACATTGTTTAAAAAAATGCCCATTTGGAAATAAGTTAGCTGTCAGAAACTATTTACGTTCCTTCAAGAGTTCAGTATGGTTCTGCCAAACTAGTATATATTTTATAATACGCCTTATTTCATAAGACAAACAACTTTATGAAGCAAACCTATACGTGTGAGATTTTCTACCAAAGGGTTATCGTCATTAAACTGGGAGAATGTCACAAATGTTAGACGAAAACGATCACAGTTCCATTACTATTATAAATTTTCAACCGCAACGATATTGTATTGTTCAGAGATTTTAAGTATAATACTTCGTAATAATTCAACCGATGACTCCTTTGGTGGATTCCTTGAAATAATTCATACTACTAATTCATACCATTATTTTTCATTCATTTTCTGTTTTTATTTTGTGTAGTAAATCAAATGCTCGAACCTCTGATAACGTTTGTATGACCTACGTAAAAATTATATTAGGACGAGCAGAGTAAAATGATTCCTCGTCAATCCACAATTTTCTGGGTAATTAATTCAATATACGAGATTTTCACCAACGGGTGTTGGTAAGACGATCATTGTTTCCAAAATACAACAAATTATTTCATAGATTATAATGTCTTCCTTGTCATTCAGAGGTGTCGACCATGGGCCAACGGAACCTACCTCCGTCATTCTGGAACAGTGCCTACCAGCCGCCGGTCCTTCCCCACCCGCTAGGGGGCAGTGGAGCAGCGGCATATCCAGACCCATACAGCATACCAGGTTCATCCTTCCACGGGATGGCTGGATTACAAGACCCGTGGCATTATTCGTTCTCCTCTCAAACGCACACGTATCCTCACAGACCGTCCATGCACGATTTCACCTATTCCTCCATGACTCCTGGTCCGTCACGGCTCACACCCCACTACAGTTCTCTTCTCATGCAGCAGTCCATGCGGGCGTCGGGAAGGTTTAGCGGCATGCACGCATCGGGTACGTGCGACTTGACAAAACCTGCTGCTGCTGCTGCTGAAGCTGCCGCCTGGGGGAGTCGATATCACACGGACCCGTTAGCGACCACCGACCTCTCCTCTCATCACACAGTGCCACACCCACACCCGCATCTGGAACCGGCAGTAACAGGTGAGAGATTTCTGTGAATCAAATAAAATAAGATTTTAAGAGTCATTGGGATTTTAGTCAGAAAATAATCTTAGAAAAACTATTTGAATCGAGCACCTTTTCGATTTTTTCAGGTTTTCAGCAATCCCTAGTATTTACCAACCATCACCCTATAAACCCGAAAAACCTAAATATGTTTTGGTAGTATTTTGCATCGATTACGTAAATTTCTTATACTCAAAATTCTAATGGCAATGCAAATTCTGAGAGAGCACGTCACGTTTCTCGAGGACATAAATGCAGGTTAATGAAAAAATGAGGCTTTAGAAATAAATTAATATCATGAACTGTTACTTTGAAATGATATATGAATTAAATTATATGAATTCCATAAAATTAATTTGGATATCTTTTAAGGCTGTGTTGCCTTTGTACCCCAGTGGTTATTTAACTTTACCGATGCCCTGGAAGCATTTTGTTCTGGTCTTTACACGAGTTTTTCAATATTTGAATTTTATTCATTCCCATCTCTCGACGTAAAAATACTTGTGCGTGATAAGAATTTCGAACCTTTTCATTGTTATGATTGAAACGTTTTAAACACTTCATATAAAAGTCATATAATGGTTATCTACTATACAAAACTCGCTTTTTGATGAAAGAAAAAATGCAGTGCTTTTCTGTTTTATATACCTTCGATTTCCTTGCATATTTGTGAACGCCTTAAGAACAACAAAGAAGTAAATAGAATACTGATAAAATAGAATTAGAACGGAATTAAACGTCAGAGGTTATTCTTTGCGCATCTACCACTGTTGTATTGCTGTGATTTGTAATTTGTAATTTTATATCCAAATACATCAAGTGATAGACTTACAAAAAATAATAAAAAGAAAAATAGACATAAAGGCAGAGATTTGAATTGGCTTTTTTTTTAATTTTAAAAGTGTATGACATGTCAGAGTGATTTGTTGGAAAATCGCGAGAACAACGGAGCCACGTGCGCATCTGTAGAATTATGTTTTTAGACAGAAAACTATTTGACGATTACCTCAGAAATACCGGATTTCTTTGTTGGGCAAAAATTGCTTGGCTGTTGTAAATTAACCCCCTTTAAATTGTGCCTTGAAATAAACAACTTTTGTCGAAACCCCCCACAAAGAACAGACCCCTGATAGAATATTATAATATGGGATCACAAGTTTTATATCTTATTTATTAAAAGATAATTATGTTTATTATGCTGTTGTAACCTTGGACCTGGAATACATGTATGATTGGTCCAAGTTACAACGTTTTCTGTGAAAATGGTGTGGTACAAATTGTCTTTAGTATTTAAGATTTAAGTCTCAATTCAGTGCGGGATTGCGTCGTTTTTCTTTAAGGAATTGTATTTCTGCTTAGTTTGAACCTAAAATATTATTACATTGCATTCTTGTTCTGAAATGTATTTATAAATAAAAATAAATTGCTTGAAACTGAAATTGAAAGTGATTAACAGGGGTGGATAAAAATATTTTTTAAATTCTTAGTACAATGTAACATTTACTTGTTAATGTCTTTCTCACTACGGCTTAACACGTCATCCAATTTCTTTTTGACAATTAAAAATGTTTTCTTTTCACATATAACAGGTCTTTTAATCACTTTTGTATTCAGTTATGCATTTTTTTCTCTATATTTTAGGGTTGGATGGAACAGTTCAAGAATCTGGAAAAGAAGTTTACTGGTTTTAAGAAAGCATATTAATAACATTGACAGATGCGGAGGCATGTGATCGATAGTATTACATAGAAGCGATGGTTAAGTCGCTATTTTGAGCGTCGACAGTTCTTGGATTTTTTTCCATTTGTTTAACGCATCATCTCTGTCAACGGCTTTTAAAAAGTAGAGGTAGAGTATAATATGTAAGGTACTTTATGATTTTAAAATCATTTTTGTGAAACTATAATCCATCGTCTGCAGTGAGATCACCCCATATACGGTCAATAGACAAGTTGCTGCAGTGAAAAGATATGCGAACATGAACCGCACCCATGCTCAAAGCAAGTACAGCGCCTAAGCACAAAACTATTAATTTATTTAACATAAAAACAATCAGGTACGTGTAAACAGAAAACGCCATGTTTCAGATAATACAGATGCACAAAATCGTTGTTGTGAAACTTCTAAACGCTCAAAACAATAAAGCACAAGTTACATTGATATCATGTCCCATAATGTCTCAACGCTTTCCTCACTGATATAACAGTCACATGCGCAAAAGAGAAAGGTTGATGGCTGGAAAAAAAAAACTCTTCCGAATCAAAGAAAGCAATATACAAATATATGTTATTGTTAACAATATCCTTTATCAGCTATTCCGTCCTGAAGGACATGTTGAATTTAAGTGAATTTGTCCGTGCTACAAATTATTCAATTATCAACTTTTCACGTAATCAAAATAGGGTGGCAAAGTAGATTCTGCGTATGTTAACTTTATTTATTTATATGCAAGGTTTATGTGACTGTTTAACAGCCGTAATAACTCAATTAGTTATTGTGATTTTTTTCTTGCTGAATACCTTTTTATATTTTGATATTAAATTGTATATACTGTTGTAGCTAGCAAGACTGAGGTATGAAAATTAAGTTACCATCCTGTTATTTAATATCACATTATTTAGCAGTGGCCGAATGTGTAAATGCTTCGTTCGGAACATGTTTCAGAAAACTGTTTCTTGATAAGCTTTCAAGAACTTCCCAGAAAAATACCTTGATGTATAGATTTTTAATTAAAGCTCTTTCCAATTAAGCAAATTCATTAGCTGCTTGCAGGAATATATCGAAACTGTAAATAATGATAAGTTTGTACATATTTTAAGGATTTGTATATATTAATATGTAAACACCGTTTCAGGAAGTGCCAAACAAATTGACGTATACAATGATATACGCAGTATCATATGCAAGGGTTCCAAGATTTGAATCTAAAATAACTTATTGTTTTATAACTTGTGTATATTTCTATGTATGTGTGGAAATCGTGAAAAAGAAAAATGTGCATACACACAATAAAATACTTAAATATGCTGATTGTGGTATCATTTGTTACTTATACACGCGTCCCCATCGTAAGTGTGCGCATCGTTCTTCAATAAAAAAAAACTAGATGTCATTAATTAAAATTACTTGTCTAAAACACTGTAAGGCGACTATTTATTCTGTTTTTCGTGCTACTGGTATTTTACTATGTTTATCAAGTGAAGTGGACACAGGTACAATCAGTTATTTAAAAAAGCAAAGAAAAACTATTTTATCTTGATCAGTTGACAAAGATCTGTGCAAATTAATTAAAATTGATGATGGCAATAGTTATAGGTAGACCGACTGTCCCAGAATTTGGATAAATATAGTTTAAAACATTTTTTAGTATTGATCGAAACAATCACAAATTTGTTCGACAAATTTGAGCGCTCTATTTGAAATGAGAAAAAATAGGAATTTGAAAAAATATTGTTGACGGTATTTTGTAAGAAAAGCATGGTAAATTCAAATGAAATATGACGTTTTTCAAATTAATTTTGCGATAGGATTTATTTATTAATCTAGTGGTACTGTGAAGTGCACGCGCTCTCACTGTTTCAAAGCGAAATGTAAACCGCTCATAAACAAACTCTGAGCTAGCCGCACAAACACCTTTTGTTATTTACACTGATGAGCGTTATATGAATTATGGAACACTTCTTTAAAAAATTAATTAGTTTTCAAAAAGCATCGAAATGCGAAAATGGAGGAAGGTATCGGTTTGCATCGTGTTTCATATAAACCCAAAAAATCAAAAACGCAAAATCGGTTATAGTGAAACTTTTCTTGACAAAAATACACCTTTTTTGTCTAGTTTGAAGTGTTCTGAAATAAAAAAAAAAGATCAGTTGAAAACTATATTATGCAAATGGCTAGTGAGTATTACGGTGCATATTTCCCGAAATAATATCTTGTAATTTTTTTTTAATTTTTGAGATTGTAAATCTAACCTCACCCTATAAAGAATTGCCTAGATAGAGTGCATATAACGCAAGTATTTGAAATAGCGGACGTCATATCAGATGTAATTACCTTTGTAATAATGTATGAAAAATAGATATTATCCAAGAAATAACTTTTAAAGAAAAAACTATTAATAGAATGACAAATAAAGTTAGGAAAAGCTTTACTCTTAGTTTAATACATTTTTTATCATCATCACAAAAATTACATTGTTCCATACGCCATCCAATTCTTTGACAACGATAAAAATTATTTTTGATTCAGTAATTCCGGGAAAAAAACAAATCTCAATTGTTGAAGACCTCTTTTATCTAAACAGACTTCAAAATTCTCGTTGAATGAAAAGAGACCAACACTTCGGAAAATTTTACGGAGCCAATGGTAAATAAACTCAAGCAATAGTGCTAGATATATTGAATCTGCGCGCAGTTACTTTCAAGGAACGGATATTGTCAGTCAGGTCACATAACAAACGTCAATTTTACGTATAAACGCTATTTATTTTCCAACGCAGAACCAAGCAAAATAGAAACGACTTAGCCGAGCACAATTTCAGCACTTATGTCCATACAGAAGGCTATAGCTTCATATTGGTATCATATCATATCATACATGTTATAATTGATATAAATAATATGATAAGAAAACCTGAAAGAAAGTAATTTTAAAAGAGGAAAGAGATAGCACCCGCTGTCTGCAAGCGGGGTCCGCGAAATCCAAGGAGCCTTGGTGCATTCCTTAGGTAAATTACCGGGAGGATATACACTTGTTGTTTTCAGTTATCCTATATCGACAGACGAGAAAATGCCTTTCTGAAAAGCGATGACAGACAATCCCATATTCTCACTCCATCAAGTGCATATTTTGTGTTGGTTGCACCTGATAGCGATGTCGAGAGAGGTCACTGGCAGCTGGGTGGAGGTGCTGGAGTGGAACAGCACACTGACAGCCGTCAAAACTCGAACAGAGAAAGAGAGAGAAAAGAAAGAGAGAGAGAGAGAGAGAGAGAAAATGAGAGAGAGATTTAGTCCCATCATGAATTTTTGATTCCATAGACTAGTCACGTCACTTTATGTGCATGATGGGTTTTTCTCTTCATGCGTATTATGGTGATTTAAATCGAAAATGTTCCTAATTATAGAATAAAGATAATTTTCCCCTGGATTAACAAACAATGTCCAATGCTAGTCACGAACTGTGGTCTAAATTTCACATGGAACTGTATAATGTGTAAGATCTGTAGCATTATTTTAAAATTCAGATACAGATACGGAAACCATATCGGAAATTGTTGCATTTTTTGCATATGGCCTATCTACAGATAAATCCCTTCATTTTACTAAGGAAATGTAGTCCTATAATACAACTCCTTGATTTTACAGCTACCAATTTGGGGGTAAAATACATCTTTCCAGTATTCATTTTTACAATCCATTTTCATCATTTTCCATGATTGATTTTATTTTTGGTTCTAAAATTTATATTACTATCATAATATTAACCAAATTAAAAGCAAGTTCAGAAAAAACCATTTTGTGACATTGAAATTCTCGCAAAATATATCGTCCCTGTATTATTGTGACGCAAAAACCGTGTACTTTCTTAATGTCGTTGTTGTCATTTTTTTGCATTCAGTTTACCCAAACAGCTATTGTTTCCTTTGCCTCCAAACTCCCTGGCACCCAGCCTTGTGACCTGAACTTCTTTCTTAATTGTATCAGGACAGTTAATTCCATGCGTTTAGTACTATTTTTAATATATGAGGTCGCACAAGATATTTCTGTAATCGCAAAAATCACAGATATCCTGACAAAGCATGCGAAAAAATCGGTGACCTGCCTAACAAAAGTTCCTTCCAAAGACGGAGGCTTGGTTCTACGTGAACCAAATGATTTCTGTATTCATTTTAGTTCAGTTCACGTTTTATGAGTAATAAGCGCGCATGCTGTAGGCCTACATGTTTTGGAATTCGCTTTTTAAAATCCGTTTGTTAAAAGAGCTCTACTGCCCCAGCTGACTGATTTACTTTTTCTTTTTAAATCCGATATTGAAATATAAAAAAATATAACAACTGCGGTAGCATTATAAATATTTCCTAAGGGTTTTTCAGAAAAATTGGCATCACGCAAAACAGTAAAGCAAACTGGTTACGTAAGTTAAATCGAAAGACATTGATTTACACACTAAATTAATCCAAAACATATGTTATCATTAATATTTATGAAATTAAGCACGTAAAGATTATGAAAGACATACGTAAAATTCATTCAATATTTTGCTCTTGGGTAAAATCAATTGCAAAATAATTTCTGTGCAAAACCAATTTTGTCAAACATTAAATTATATTATATCTGAACTATCGCTGGTAAATATTTAGAAAACTGGTTTCATGCTATATTGCAGGCTTAGGGGCCTAATACTTTTCAGTAAAATAAAGCGAATGTTTTCACCCGTTTGTCTGTTTGTCTGTCATCAACATAACTCAAAAAGTTATGGATCGATTTTGATGAACTTTTCAGGGTAGGTCAGAAATGGGTTAACTTAGAAGTGATTAGTTTTTGGTGGTGATCCGGATCAATAATCAATCAATAATAATAATAATAAATTGCCGCCTTGGCGGAGGTCTGCGCTCTCGGAGTGCTTTTCTAGTTGATAGAAAATTTTGGCATTGTATTTAATACATTCTAGAAAAAGAGGAGATTTAATGACGCTAAGTAGGCCAAGCCCCTATTCATTAAATTAGTTCGATCACATTTTCAATACACATTTTCAATCAATAATAGGTATAAATAATTATGTTCGTGATCCAAGACTGTCAATATCATGTCACGTTTTGGCTAGAGATGGGACTGCCGACTTAAATAAAAAATATAATAATAATAATAATAATAATAATAAGTATGTCTCATTGATTATTTTTAATTCACCCATATTTTATTTTACTTTACAATATTTCTACAGTAGGCCCTACTTTTTATCAAAATATAAAGGGCTTGAAAATTATTTTCTTGACGAATTTGTTTAAGAACAAAATTTTAAATCAGCGTTTTGAGCTTTTCCTCGTATGAAAAACACCAGTAAAAATAAACATAAAAATAGTCTGACGGAAAGAAAAGTGTTATCCATAGGGGAGCCTTTTTTTCCATGTTCTGTTTAAACGTTTTCAAAGATCCCTTTCATACAAATAAATTAAGACAATCGAGCTACCATGAATTGAAGCGCCATCTATGAGAACGTTGCCTGTAAACATGGCCACATTGCGAAGGTCGTTTCGTTTATGTGGTCGGTTCTCCCATTTATACACTCGTTGTCAGGGTAAACTACCACTCCACAGAAGATGCATGTCGGTGGTTTCTTGTATAGATCGTAAGTATTAGTTACACGTGGTTCATATCACCAAATAGTCGCTATGCAATATTAATCAACTTTTCGTTCGTGTTGTGTAACTTACTAACTACACCTTTAACTTTGCCACTGAGGGTGAAGGCTCCTTCAGCTGTTGGAGCGGTTGATGGCTGTAAATTTCGTATCCATTTACCGTATCCATTTTTGTATCTCGGCATTAACATTTCCAGTTAAGTGACATTTATGTTTAGATACATGATTAAATGTTCAAATATTGAAAGTGCACCTTAATTCATGTCAGAGTGTTCTACATGTATTTATACAGCAGTTCATTATTATATATACATAGTGTCAGAACAATGGGATAATTATGTGCACCTGGTTGTGCCGTTCTCATAAGCTAGCTCTGTGTAGCAGTCTGATTATTATTATTATTGAATTATTATTTTTTATTTAAATTTCTTGGCTCTTTGTACATGTATGATGATTGTTATTTCATATGTTATAGCATCTATGGGATTAAATGAAGAACAGCAGCAGATCCAGAAATTAGCAAAAGACTTTGCTGCTAATGAGATGTCTCCTCACATGGCTCAGTGGGACCAGGAAGTAAGAGAATGTATTTGAACCTAGAAAATTGAAGGAAGAAATATTTGAAATTATTCCCTGTAACATCCTCCATTTTGCTTTAGTGAGATTATGTTATTGGTCAGCACTATAAATATCTACTTTGGTTGATACTTTTAAATTGGCATTTGCAAAGAAATGTTCTGTATACCCAGATAGCAAGCATACGTTGGGCCAACGTTGGCCCAACGTTGCCTTGGTTGACCGTGCAACGTTGGCCCAACGTTGGGTTTCCATCTAAGTGCTCACTTTGGCCAACGGTTGGCTGAACGTCTTTTTAATGCCAACGCATTGCCAACGTATTCCCAACCAAACTGCGTTGGCCCTACATTGGGCCAACTAATAACCAACATTGATCCAACAATTACCCAACCTGTAACCAACAGTGTATTTACGTTGGTTCTACAAATAACCAACATCAGTCCAACAATTACCCAACCAAACTGCGTTGGCCCTACATTGGGCCAACTAATAACCAACATTGGTCCAACAATTTCCCAACCTGTAACCAACAGTGCATTAAAGTTGGTTCTACTAATAACCAACATCAGTCCAACAATTACCCAACCTCAAACCAACAATCCATCCGCATTGGCCCAACGGTAGGCCAACTGGTCACCAAGTTATCTGCAATTTGCACATCAAATTATGACCCAACCTAAAACCAGGGGCACAGTGATTTACAGTGACCCAACATTGAGCTAAAGGCAAAATAATCTTTTTGGAATCATATAGGTAGTAGGGCACTGTAATTACACGTCTGATGCACAGGCAGATCAATGTCCTAATGAAATATCTTGAGCATCTGAAATCTGCAAACTGCAAGATATGACTGAAAAATTAGCAAGCTTTCTAAGGGATGAATCCTTCAGAGGACTTGATCTGCCTGTGATCATTTACACTACACCTGGAAAATTGTCAATTAATAATTGTTGTTAAAACAAAAAGATTAGTGATATATTTTGAACTGTTTAATTAATTCATAACATTACATAAATCAAATACCTTATACCAACTAAATAATGATATGTGAATTGAAATATAATACAAAAAAACAAAAAAGAAATTTTTTATAAGATATTATAATATTAAATTTAAACATTAATAAGTGTGTCTTATATATCAATTATTACATGATTCACATCAAGAAAAAATATCAACAGTCCTATGACTTTTCACCTTATTCCTGGAGTCAAGCCATTTTTCTACTAGTAAAGTCTTTTTTGCCCCATTTCAATTTTTAAAGATATTTTCATTAAATTAAATTTTAAACCAGAAACCCTTGTTAATGTCAGGTAAGATGCTTTTCATAAGTTATATGTCAAGTCTATAAAATCACAGCCTCTTCCTTCAGGCAAAATCTCAGACATTGTCTCTTTAAAAATCAAGTCAGTGGTCATATGAGTTCGATCTTTGTGTTTTTTCTCTCTTTCCTGTCCTGCACCTGTGTGATCTTTGGCAAAGCACAATTAGTTGGATGTATCCTCAATATATTTGTCTAACCAGTCACAGCAGAGTGTGCTGCACCTACAAATTTAAATATTAAAAACACTTGAAATATAATGCTAGAATTGGTATGGTACATAACATGACTGTACCTCTTCCCCCATCACTGTTTTCATATACAAACTAGTACTATCAGGTGTGTGTTATATGATAATCTCCCCACCTTTTCTAAGTTAGGCAACAGCCAATATCTTAACTATAAAAGTGTGTGTCTTGTGTGCAGTAATTTATAGTGATTTATTTAAATTAGTTCTTACGTGTACACTTGACCATGAATTCAGTTTTTAGACAACTGTAATGTACCACTAAATTCCACATCATTTAATCATTCCAACAACTCTCCATCACAGAATTTACTGGCCAGGATTTATACAGACACATAAGAACAATTGGCTTCCAAGGACTTTTAAGGCTCTAATTCAAATCATTTTCAATGATTTTTAACTAATGAGGGCAAGTTATACATTAATACAGTTATTTTAAAGTGTACATACCAAAGAAAAAAGACTCATTTCATTTAAACTATGTCTTTGTAACACATTGATGATGAAAAGTTGAAAATAAAAGTACAAGTAATGATGTATTAAAACTTAAGGTATACCCCCATCTGTGAATTATTGTCTGTATTCATGTCATTAAACTACAAAGTTTTAAATAATATTTTTACAAAGACAAAGTGCTGAAATGCAAACCTTTTTCAAGCCTAATAGCATTTTCAAGTACTTTTCAAAGTTACATTTAAACTAGAGCCATTTAAACTAGNGTACAATAATGTATTAAAAAGTATACCCCCATCTATGAATTATTGTCTGTATTCATGTCAATAAACTACATAGTTTTAAATAATATTTTTATAAAGACAAAATGCTGAAATGCAAACCTTTTTCAATTTATATATATATTATAGCATTTTCAATTACTTTTCAAAGTTACATTTAAACTAGAGCCATTTAAACTAGTTACATTTAAACTAGTTCAAAGTGCTGGATTAAATTTGAACACTTTTCAAGGCTGTATGGATCCTGGTGCATCAGTAAATAATGGGAAAATAAAAAGTCACTTACCAGTACATGCTCACATCTTATCCTGTCTCTATATCTCTTCATTTTCTAATTTCCAAAAAGATGTCTTCTTTTTATATCCAGAAATTGATGGCTTGTGATGAATCTGGTCTAGTGAAAGTTATCGGTTTAAAAGTCAAGTGATGCTAACTTATATATTAAATTTATATATTGTGCAATTGTACATTATAATAAGATTTCAATCATTTGTCTGATTTCAATAACAATAATAATCATAATAATAGCAATAATAATAAATTTGTTTCACAGCATTATATAAAAATAGAAAACTGTTAACTCAGTTATTTTTTTATCGGTGAAGTCTATGTACTATATATGAGGGTATATAGCTTGGTTGACAAATAAAAGCAGAAAACTGTTTTTTAACCCAAGGAATTTGACAAACTCTTCATAAAAAAATTATGTTTTTTTAATCCTAAAAACTAAATGTTACTGATCAATAAATAATCACATGTGTTTCTCAGTTGTGAACAGAAACATTTTTATTATTACAGAAACATTATTCATTTCTATTGAGTTGTTAATTGGATATGTTGGCCCAACGTTAGGCCAACGTTTGCAATAAATATGCACACGTTGGCCCAACGTTGGGCCAACGTGAGCATATTGCAGTTATGTTGTGCATATTATGATGTGGTTGGGCCAACGTATTACTACCAACGCCAACTATGTGCCAACAAACTAACGATTCCCCTACGTTGGCCCAACGTATGCTTGCTATCTGGGTTTATGTAGGATGTTGAAAGAAGTCACAGGGTCTCCAGTCAGTGTGGGCAAAGCAGGGTTGGTGATTCACCCACTCCACTATTTTCTGGTAGCTTCTGTAGATGGGATGGTGACTGACAACAGCTACAACCCCCCACAAGGAGTATTGGAAGTCAAATGCCCCTTTTCCCCCCCAAGATCAGACCCTTCAGGGGCTAGTGGCTTCCCGGAAAGACTTTTGTCTTGTCCCCGGAGCAGAGGAAGTCTGTGCTATGCAGTGCATGAGGACGAGGCGGCTATGGAAATTTCTCATAAAACTCGCAAGCTTAAGCTTAATGAAAAACACATTTATTACTGTCAAGTCCAGATGCAGCTTGCAGTAACCAACAGACAGTGGTGCGATTTTGTAGTCTTTTTAACATCAGAAAAGAGGGAAGGGTGCCTGTCCACTGAAGTATTTGTCCAGAGAGTGCACTTCAATAGTGTCTTGTGGCAGACTACAATTTTACCCAAGATAACAAATTTCTACAGGAATGCTCTTGTTCCAGAGATTTTGAGTCAAGGCGTGTTTAGAGGCAAGAGATTGTACATACATTCATATCATTACAAGTACAGGTCAAAGTGTTAGACATTGAGAAATTATGAGCTCAAGTGTTACAACTTTGGTAAATTTGTCTTCTTTAATGGAAACCTTTTTTTTTATTGTTTAACATGTGATAATATTCTCTGTATTAAAAGCATTTAATTTATGATGGCAATTTTTGGTACTGAGCATTTTGAGTAAATGTATAACTGTGATGATATTTGAGAGATTTTATTACTCAACATATTGTATTACTTATTAAATACATACATGTACATGGTCGGATGAGATTTATTATCCATTTGGTGTTTTTACCATATTTATGTGTAGTTTACACAATATGTGATGTGTCTTTTATTGTAACTTGGTGCTGTATCATTAAGATTAAGCCTCCCTAGAAATTGTGATGGTGCTTCTTAAGTTAACATTCCAGAAAATATTTCCTTACAAACAAGTTTTGTAACTGTGATTAAAGGCATCTGTGATGGAACATTTTTACTTCCCAAATAAATTTAATAAGATATTCACATTCTTGTTTCTCACGTTTCAGACAGCCTAGTTAATCAGAACAGTCTGGACAGTTTTCAGTCTGCACATGATAATTTTACCAGTCATTCAGAAAATAATGGCTCTGTGCATAGGTTCACTAAATAAAAACATGACCCATATCTTGTTCAAATCACTAGCCACTGAGTTTGGAAAAACATAATTCAGTAAACGATAGTTTTTAATTCTCCCGATAACACGTTCCATATGAATTCTGAGCCTGGCAATTCTTCTTTTTTCTTCCTCTTCCGCAGGACTAGGTTGTCCCTAAGAACCAATAAATGGAGGGATATTCAATTTTACCTTCCTCTTCGCGAGATATTTATCAATTAGGAATCCTCGGTCTGCCATGACAGAATCCCCCTCGTCCATCAGATCCACAAGTCCACTAAGTTCTGTCATTTCTTTGTCTGACATGCGCCCAGGAGCCAAATCTGACACATAACTGATAAATCCATTTGGTGCTATTCCCACAAGTCCTTTGGCAGTATTGTGACTTTTGTAGGAAGAATATGTCTCTGACTGTGTAACGTATCCTGATGGCCTTTCAATGAAAAGTTCTGTACAGTCCAAAATGACCCTCGTAGATGGATACTCTTCTTTGAAGCACTGTGGCATAGTAGCTTCTACAATTTCTTTAGATGACCAGATTGGCAACTTCCGGAAGCGAAAATGCATCAGCTCAAAATATGTCCTGCAAATCCATGAAACTGTTGCTACACCTACTCCCATCCTATAAACACATGAAAATATAAACCAATCAATGAAACAAATGCTATGTCAGTTTCTTTAAATTAATCATTTTTCTCAAAAAAGTGAACATAAATTAAAGGTGTAAATTCCAACATGCACTTGAATATAATATATAAAGAATACATATAAGTACTGTACTGTCAGTCTATGTAGTAAGTATACATTAATATAAGCTTATACCTGAAAGCTAGGTCTTCTCCTAGTAATCCAACTCTCAGCCTGGCCAAGACAAGAAGTAATTCATCTTCTGAATCTAAAGAACAGGTGTATTTTTCTCTTTGTCTTTGTCATGGTAAGTTGAACCCCAGTAGTGCATATATCAGAAATATCTGGAGACAGAAAGTCATGAAAGTTCTTGAACTCTACATAAGAAGAAAACCCTGTGTAAAACTTAATAGCTTCTGGTCTGTCTTTCAAAGACTCCATGCTGAAAGTGTTTTCTTTCTTCTTCTCTTCTTCAAGTTTTTTCTGGAGATCTTTATAACGCTCTTCCCACACATCATTTTCTTCTGCATTCTTCTTTGTCTGTTCCCAATCGGTCTGGCATTGTTTAAGATGTTGTATTGTCTCTGAAAGTTCTTTTTGTATATCATGCAATTTGTCCTCCATTTCATGAATAATCCCACTTTTTTCTTTCACAGATTTGAGAAGGTCCTTCATGTCTGAATGTGGCAAGCTGTAGGAATGGTTGTCGTAATGTCCGACGTCTCTTTTTGCATTTTCCGACATTGACTCAGTGACAGGTGGTGTTTGTCTTATCAAAGTTCTCCTAGATTGAGTTACCTTTTCTGTTAGGTATCTAAATACCGTTGGTCTTCTGTTAGTGTACGTTTTCTCCCCTCCTTCGAAGGTTCAGAGCAAACGTGGTGCCCTGTTGTTGGCTCAAACCTACTGAACTTCCCTTTCTTCAAAGCTCTACCAATGTTATCAACCCATTCTTTCCCTTCCTCCGTGTCTGCTGGGAAAGTGTAAAAGCTCAAATGTCTATCTCTCTGATTGTTATTGTAACAGTGAGGCACACAGCAAGTAAATCGAGGCATGATTTGAGTATCTGATGCTATACGTAATGACGACCAGAGGACTCCCCTACCCACAATGCAATTTCCATTTCCTGAAAAGATGAAAAAGGTCTATAGCAATATTGTTGTTGCACTGACCTTTGCTAATACTGTGTGGTTGTAGAACGAGATGGTGAACAGATGAATTCAACTGTCCTCAGAGTGATGATAATACAGGAAACACACCTTCATTTCTACTGAAAACAGATAACAAATCATCAATAAAATATATATATATATGTGTGTAGACATATATGGTATAGTTACAACACAGAAATAACACAGTGATCAAAATATATTATTATATTATAACTAGAGGATCAGAGAGGTGATACCGCCTCCAGATATTGTACCACCAGCTGGAGTAAGCGCATTCATATGGACCCCCCCCCCCCCCAAGGTCACAGATTGCCAGTGTATTACTTCCTATTCAAGTTCAATAGTAACTATGGACCTATCTCTGCCAGTTTTGGAGATAAAAGGGAATGAAAATTTGCAAAGTTCAGTTTATGGTAAAAAGTAGGTCAAAGGTCAATTTTAAGGTCACAGTAAATTGCCAGTATATGACTTCCTATTTAAGTTTAATACCGTACTAGTATTAAGAATGTGTATATTTACCCCGTGGACCATTTGAAGATTACACTGCGATTAATGCGGTGGAAGATACAATAGAGAGAGTGTATAATGATAGGGTTGCTAAACGATTGTTGACGGCATATAGTAACTAGCCTAATCCCCTGGTCGCCTGGGTAGCCACGCCCCCTTAGAGTAATTGTGTAAACAAATGGTCTCCAGTAGCGAACTATCCTTTTGTTGAACAGCTTCGCGCGTGCAGCTGATTATGTACGTAGTGACACTATAGCTATCTGCATATAAATTTGTGCTAGCTGTTATTTGATTCATTCTGCTTGGCGGATGTTGTGGATCAGCCCACTGGTTCGTTGACTTATTTTTTTCTGAAGATTGGTGATGCAGATTTTGAGTGCTTAATTATTTACCCTCCTAACAAGAGAAAGGGGAAGGGAGAGAAAAAGAGAGAGTGTCAAATGAAATGGGTAATGAGTAATACAATATATTAAATAAAGGGACTCGCAGTGGAAGACACGATAGACTAGCTGTTTTGCATCAAGGTATGCCATTATAATCCGACATGGCCCATAACATTCATAATAAACACCCACTGATTAATCAGACTAGAACGCGTGGCGATAAAATGTGTCACTAGATCTTGTAAACACTCAGCAAAATGCACCCAGTGACTATATTCAATGTGCCGTCACTTAATTGCTTTCTCGATTTCATTAATTGACGATAGTAATTGCAGTAAACAAGGAAGAGGAAATGCTGAAGACAAAATAACGTCGGGTCTTTGTGTGACTTTCTCCCTAAACACTTTTTATGTTGCTGTCAAAGAAAAAGGAGCCGAGATAACGATCATTTAAATCACTGCTGCTGCTTTTGCAGATACACTTCCTCGTTTATCATTTAAATGCTCCCCTCCCCCAACAGACCTAACTTGATGAATGTCATAGTAGTTATAGTACACTGTATATCAGATCTGGGTTCAAGTTATGAAAGGTTTAAGCACAAAACGATAATTTGAGGCTATTTTTTTTATTCAAGACAAAATAAAGTATCTATGGTGTGTGACAATACCCAGCAGGCATAGTTGCGTTGGATCAACGTTGAAAACAGGTTGATACATTGAATTGCAGTTGATCTACCTAAATTCAAAGTTAAATCAACGTTGATCCAGCCACGTTGACTCAACGTTGTATTTTGGTCAATGACACAACCTTGCAGTTATAGATTGTAATTTGAAATATTAATTATTGAAAATGTGATACTTTGTTTATCAATACTGTAATCAATATTGTAATAAATTTATCAAAATAATAACAAAATGGTTTTAAAGTAAAAGTGACAGTTGTTTTGTGTCTTTAGTTAACTAGTGAATTTTCTTATCTTGTTATTCAGAAATACATTCCAATAAACTGAACTGCTTGCAAGGTCAGCTAACACTAGAATGAATAAGTTGCTGTAATGTGATGGAGTTAACAGTTCTTGGTAACCTGTTATAGATAGACAGGTTGAGGTGACTGTGACCTTGTTTTATATATATATATATATATATATATTAATCTAAACCTTTGAAATTTTAACTTACAGGCCATACATTTATACCCTACATAAATTTAGCCATCAAACATGTCCTACTGCTAAATACATCCAGGCAAATTTCCCGCTGGGTGGGGATGATATAACATTGTTTTCTGACGTTGATACAACGTTGTTATCTGAGGTTGACACAACTTTCAAATCCAACATTTATTCAATGTCTTTTCAACGTTATGGTTCAATGTTGTTTCAACGTTAAAACAACATAATTTGCCCTCTGGGATAGGGACTTTACAAAGCTTTAATTTGTCCTTAAATATATATTCCAGTAGCATATGGATTTAGGCGAGCGACGTAATTGTAACCCAAAAGCATCAGGATGAACACTGAAAAGCGGAGTACAAAAATTAACTTTTTAAATATCGATTACAATATGCTGTACAATGACAATGAGTCAAAAAGGGTTAATGGACTTCTTTGTCTTAAAAGAAATTAATTTCGAAATTAAAAGAAAGTTTTTTTCGGGGAGCGTGGCTAGACAGTTTACATCAGGTGATACGTTAAATTCGAGGAGTGTTTCACTGTCATAAAAACACTATAAGAAAGTTTTTTATTATGATCTGCAACATTTGTTCATTTATATAGCAGGGCGAAGTTAACGCCAGAGGTAAATAGTAACTAATACCGTAATCTTCCTCGTCCATTTATTTAAATCGTATCAAAACGTTTGATACACAATGTTCATTAACGTCATAATTTTGGCGATTTATTAAAACCATATTTGTACATGATAGATAAGCATAAGTTAAGCAACAACCAGTATGAAGAACAACACCCTTTTTAAATGAGGCAAAACACCCTCTTCACACTGATTATAACCTTGAGAAAGCATTATGCAACAAGGCAAAGGAATTATGCAAAGTTCTTTCAACTCGTGTGTGAATACAACACATTCTTTGTCACTTTTACAAGACAATGGAGGCGAGCAAGTGGAGTAATTACAATATACAATAAAAAGGACATTAGTTTAGAAAGCTTACTTCGGGTCAGCCCTTTGCTTGTTCGAATGAAAGAGATAGATATCGCGCCGCGACTCCCTTTATTTAACCTTCGTTTGTTTGTGTAAATGTGTGAAAGACAGGCAATGGTCTTGAGTCGCTGTTGATATTGTTCGCGATTAATATTGAAGTATAACTCCTTCGCCTGCATGTACAGTAAACGTGTTACTTTTCCTCATGTTCACTATATTTTTTTTAGGTGGTTGAGACAAGGCGATGAGATTGATAAAAGTAGAGGTTAATCTAAACAATTAAGTGCAATTTTTGTGAAATGACTTATTAAGTAATGTGCATGTACCTAGCATGTTTAAATTTTTGAATTTCTAATTTGTAAAATCTTTCATACACGGCCTCATATTTGTATTGCTCTCAGGCCATACTCTTTGATATTATTGTGTTACAAGGGACTCCTGGAAACCTGAAGCACAGGGCATTGTGAAAGTTAATTCGCTACGGAGTCTTGTTATCCTCCATGCAGTTTTATAGCTTGGATGAACACTGCGAAGTAGAAACAGGCTTTACTTAGCTTTACTTAATATACGACAGTTTAAACAAAACCAGTCTGCAAGGCTTGCTTTGATCTGGTGTTAACCTGACACTGGTTTTTCAAAGAACAAAATATGTTCGACATGGCGTTTCACAGTAATTGTATAAGCATGGTTTAAGCTTGTTTGAGAGATAATAATAGTCGCGTTTAACAATAGATAGCAAGCTATAGTAAGACCCCCTCCTCTTTAACTGATGATTTACACTGTTAATTGACCCTTGGACCTAAATATGTAAATAATCTTATTATGTCCATGATTGACCGTACACTCGTATATTGTATGATCACACAGCCAGACTTCCTCCTGTTGCACGTTAGAGTTGGATTGTCCCTGCGCCTATGTCAATGCACCTCATTTAATTTCAATATTATAATATAAGCATAGTATAAGTAATATATTCTTTCTTTATTCCTCTTTCATTATCATTCATGTTTTAAAAATACTTGAAGACTTGAATGCAGATGTTTCAAATTAAAACGTAAGTACATGAATAAATTATACATTTATAAATTAATGCAATAAGAATTTTTTGAGACATATTGATGCTGACGCTCATGCATCTCAATCAAACAAACAATACTTAGTTCAATTTTTGACTGCGGAAATTTCATATTGGATGAATAACTGATAACAAATTTAACTAGCAGTTTGTTAGCAACACTAAAAACCAGCTGCGCATGCCAAACTAGTGAACAAAAGGAAAGTTTGCTTCGCGTGGCACGGGCATGGGTTTTAGCCTCTTAAAGCTATAATCCTATCGCCGCAACAAACAATAGGGACCTTCTGGCTGATGTATCCTGCTGTTAATTACACCTAGTTACAGCGGATTGTCGCACTCGCACTGGACCACAGAAACTGGCGTCATGGAGTTCACTTGTCTTAAGTATTGTGTTATTCCACCTAAGCTATTGTGTTTGTGCATTCGAATTTTGAAGGGATTTATATGGCCCTCCATTGTTTGTCCGCCCCCTTCTATTCACAAGATAGGGATTAAAACATTTTGAATGTTGTTACACCGGTGTACAACGGAAACAAAATTATTACTACCACTGTAGTAACTACGGACCTACCTCTGCCAGTTTTGGAGATAAAAGGGAACCAAATTTTGCAAAGTTCAATTAATGATGAACAGTAGGTCAAAGGTCAATTTTAAGATCACAGTAAATTGCCTGTAATTACTTTCTATTCAAATTCAATAGTAACTACAGTAGTAATAAAAATTAAGTTTCCGTTGTACGACGTTTTAAAAACGTCAGAAACGTTTTAATCCCTATCCTATGAATAGAAGGGGGCGGACAAACAATGGAGAGCCGTCTAATCCCTTCAAAA